ATTTTACTAAAAAAAATATATTTTTATTCGAAAGCCAGCTTTTTGGGACTTTGACTAGTTCTCATTATGTGCCACTCGGCACTGGTGGCCATTTTATCCCGCAGCAGTCCCAGTGTAAACATCGCCTCGCATTTCCAGGCTCGTGCTGCGGCGTGACCTTGCGAGATAGCATTGCATGAAATGCGTCGGTTTCAAACTGCCAAAACAGCAACTGGGCTGTAGGCCAACACAAACCGCTGGGCTCTCAATGGAGGCTGCGTCTTCACAATGAGACGACGGGCGTCGGGAAGTCCGCAGTGCGATTCTGTTTGCTTTCACAATAATCAGCCCATGTTTCTGTACAATTAGGTCAATGATGAGTGACTCCGTTGCTTGCACCAAGCAAACATGTTCAGGGTTGTCACTGCTTGAACACGAAGCCAAGGGAGCATAATGTCAAGTTGATAACACTGCTGATTCCCCTTGTTCAGGAAAGCAACACACATACACACTTGGCTGCTTAATATGTCTGTCTTCTGAGCTGAAGATTTAACACATGGGCCGAAATGAAGGAAATTAAAGATTTAAAAGTCTGTGACGAGGGTACATTAATATAAATATTATGTTTCTGGACTTCATCCACCGTCCTGGTTTTTAGAACACGTTTCGGAGACTGGATTCTGCCTCCATCTTCAGGTAAAACCTACTCGGTTGGGTCCAGTAGTTTGTACTGTACTTGGCTTGTATACTCTATATGGTTTTGGTACAGGTGTCCGGAGATAGGGACTAACTCTATTGATTAGGCCCAACCGAGCAGGTTCCACCTGAAGACGGAGACAGAATCCAGCCTCCGAAACTTTTCAAAATAAAAACAGGACGGTGTTTCAGACAAAAGCAAGAAGAAGGAAATTAGTTTCAGCTTATCTGTCGATTTCTAACAGCAGTACGCTTGATCGCTTCACTCTTCGATTATGAAAGCAGACGATACGACCCTCCGAAACGTCGGTCAACCTTTGTCAGACGACAGCTCTTCATGGCCACAGTTGTGAGAATCTCAAACGAAACGGTTTTTTTTTTGGGGGGGGGGGCAGTTGACGTTGCTGTCAGCATCTCAGACTGTACAGCGTCGGATGACTGGTCAATACTGACCAGGGAAAGGATCTGGAAGGAAGCGATCGTAGCCTAATTGAGGTACTATTACGACAGAACTTAGTCAAGACAGGGTCCCGGGCCCATCCATTACGCACACATTCGCTTCATGGCTGTGACGTCTACAAAACTCGGCTCTCCGAAGAGGGTTCAATTAAACGCTACGTCACAAACTGCGGTGGGGCAGGGCGATTTGTTTCAGAACTGCTGACAAGCCTCGCTGCTTTCTGAAATCCAATTCACTGCAATTCCCCCCACCAATAACACCGAATGCAACAAGCAAGTGACTGCTGGATATACAACTTGGCGCACCGAGACCTAACAGTATGCTACAGTACAGAATCACAATCGTTCTTCCAATTAACTGTCGATATTTCATAGCGAAATGAACGCCTACAATGCCAAGCCGTGCAGGTCTCTATAGGTTACATTTGGGCAACGGAACAGCGTTGCAAACATAAATCCTACGGCAATGCACATCGGCAAGCCTGGGTTTCTCTTCAAGCTTTCTGAAGTCGAGGTTGTGTGTCCATTTTGAGCTGAAAACGATACGAGCCGGAAGGTCTCATTTACACTTACCGTGTTGAGGGTCACATGGCTAAGCCCTTGAGTGGTTACCTGACTACTCATAATACAGAGTGTTCCATTCAAACCTCCCACATGTTATCAGATCTCAGAACAGAAAGTATGAATAGTAGGATAATGAAGCTACAGGAAATACAACAACTAAAAAAATGTTATTTGACACACAAATAAACCACGTCCAATCCAGCGATCTTGGAAGGTGGCATTCAGGGACGTCGGAACATCCAGACCCCAATGTGGGGGGCTCCATCTTCTTGGAAGATTATATTAGGTTGCAGATCGGCTATCTGGGGATACAGGAACTGTTCTAACATGTCAAGGTATACGCGGCCAGATACTGTGGCTTCACCGAAGAGAAACGTAAATAAAATTCTTTAAGTTTTCCTTTCATCTAGTTTTAATTATAATCCATAATTTATCACAATTTGTTCGCAATGTCCTCTGCAAGGACCGAGTAGAAAACACCGTTTTCAACAGTACATCTATTGTCGCATGCGTATCCGTTGCCGCGTGTACATGTTTACCGAGCCGTTGTCTAGAAACGGCTCTACATGCTATACGAAAAAGTTGCAGGGGGACGGCAAGAAGCGAGAAGGCGGAGTTACTTAACTACGTCATTTCTCTGAGCTTCGATTTGCGAATGAGGAATCTGAAACCGAGTGGAAGAAAGTGGCAGTGCATTATTGCAAGAGTCCAGCATGCAACGCGCCTGCACGACGTGAGTAAAATCACGAAAACCCAGATATGAACTGATTAAGTGAAGGATGTCCGATCCGCAGTTCCAACATATTGACGTCACGAATTTTAAAAATGGCAGACAAAACTTGTTCACATTTGCACACCTGTTCATTATTATCTTATCAGGTAACGGAGACACACTGCACATTGCGCCCAAATTATTTTGTTTTCAATAATTTAACGCGACTCAAACCTGGGTACAGCTAGAAGCAGGGTCGGCTTACTACGGCTGCCCCCTGCATCGTCCAACTCCAATCGCCACTTTAAGTAGTCTCCTCCCAAGGGCGGGAATCACTTTCCAAAATGACTCTCTGAATGGGAGAAGCAACCCACAGTGGAACCTCAAATTGCGGGTGTGAGTAGCTACGATAATTTACACGTCGAAATTACTGTCACGTGACATGTGACGATAGACGGGGTATGGACTGATAATCTAATATTCTGATCACTTACAGATCATAAGTACAAATAACTACGACAGTCTCACTGAGTTACGCACCCAGATGATCACTGTAGCTACTGCACATATAAAGTCTCTTCTCAGTCTTCACCAGCCTCCGGGTCCCTGGCCTCGGCTACTGCAACTCTCAACTGACTGCTTCGATGCACACACTCTCTCTCTCTCTCTCTCTCTCTCTCGATTCTCTGGCAATGGCAGTTGACCCTCGTTATACAGCCTAGGTACGGACCGCACAGTAAACACCGCTTACATCTCTTCTAATGCTGCGTACGTAGTAATCACGTGAAGGCTACTGAGTCAGTGCCTAGCAACGGGCGTGCTTACAGAGCCCTTCCCTAGCAACGGCTACCTCTGCTGGCTTCACAATTTTGGCTTTCAGCAGACTGCAACATTACTGAAGGCGCGATTTAAATCCACGACCATGCACGTCCCTGCTCCTTAAAAAGAGAGAAAATAACTTGTGTCGAAATTCTCCTTTCGAGCCTGCGCATAAGAAAACCGAGTGATCACCGCTGACATTTCTCCGTTTCGGATGCAAGCAGTAAGAAGGCATTTACACAACTGTACCGGGCCCGGTAGCATACGGCACTGCAGCCCGTGGGAAGCCATGTGTGACGGTAAACACACACGAATTGCAGAACAGAAGCCTTTCAACCGGGACGGCGGCAGTCCTGCCAACCAACATTAATTCCAAATCGCCGCTAAGTAAATGTAACACGACACTGCTCCTTACTGCATGCGTTCACACTCTGCCGAACGTGTAATATTCCTGCTGTTTATATTCTGTTCCACTTCGATTTTTTAAACATCTAATTTCCTTTTATAATACGGCAAACCCTCGCTAATCCGTTTACAATTAATTAGGATCCAAATTTGAAAAATGCTGTTCACAGTTGCGTACATACTTTAAAGACACATGGGATTTAGGAGCAAGAGGACTTCCAGACGGTGTTGAGGGCAGCTGGAGAGACTGAAACCACGTAAGTTAATATCTGGTTTGACCTGGATGAAGGAGCCCCCGGATTTCAGCTTGTGACTGAGGAAGAAATTGCCGCAGTGATATTTTTTATTTATTTTCTTCAGCACTATCTTGCATATTATTAAATGTTCCATTTATTTGTCTGAGTGTTTTCAGGGCTAGCTTTTGCTTCATTAATCCGGATTAGCGAGGTTTTGCTGCACGCGGTACTACACAGAGATGCGATAGTGCGTTCCGATCCCCGTTAGAGCGTGCCTAGACAAAAACGACGTTTCTACATTGAGTATACGAAACTTTCTCTGCCAGATATCTCCGGCATCTCGACGGAAAGTACGCGTTGTATCAGAACATTGCATGTGTGAGAACGTGTGAGTGTTTCTGCACTGGAAACAATGGCTGTTGTTGTTAACACTTCACGCACTTCCGGCTCTCACTCGGACCTGTTTCGCTCCCTCCCTCCGCGCCGTCGCCGCCACTGTCTGTGCTCACTGTGCGTGCCTCCTCCATCCTCTACAGCACAGGAAAGGAAAGGCGGTTACTTGTTTTAACTGTGTCAAGGAATGTCGGGCATGTAAATGAACCGTGTGCGTAAGGACACAGGTCGCTCTGGGCCATCCGTTCCCAAAATGTAATTGTTTCGAAAGCTAGCGTGAAGTTGGAAGGAAACAGCGCAGAATCAGCAGCCCGTGGCCATGTTGAAGCGTACGATGTGCGTTTGTTTTCCGGCAGCCCAACGTCCTCCTGACCGCGCATCTCTCACCTTGGCTTTAGGGTGATCCAGTCAGCACCCTCCTACTCTCTTTCAACAAGTTCCACGCAAAGTTGAAGCAGTGGCTCCCTCATTTCAGTCCCCGATCAGTCCACGCGGGATTTCATGGTAGACAAAGCGGCACTGGAGGAGGTTCTTTATTCCATGTTCATCGACTGTCTCCTGCCAGTCACCACTGCAGCAACCTGGGGCCCACAGGATGACACTTTGTCGGCTCCGTCTGTCGCCCGAGTTTATTGGCACCGCAGTGTCAGAGCACCTGTCCTCAACACGGGAAAAAAAAAACTCAATTTCTGGAATGTAGTAGTTTTAATAAATCCGGAAAATGCACAGAGCCGAAAATAACAGTTTTAAAAACAGTTCTAATGTTTACATTTTCACTAGCATTCTCTGCCCACGTCGTCGATAAACCTATCGACCTGTAGGCCTATTGCTTCGTGATTTACCGCTTTCTAGGTTCGGTCGCCCGCACTGGTGGGCTCATTTGCAGGGATCTTTCCTTCCCCCCTTTACTGATTGGTTACAGCAGGCGAAGCACTGCAGTTTTCCTCACTCCATTAGAGGAAGCTGGTCTTTGCTACTATCGTGACACGTACGATGCCGCCTTGTCCTGGCAATACAGTGTTCTAGTGGGAATTCTGAAGATTCCTAAGGTGCCAATGTGTTCCGTCTTTGGCAACTTTTTGCAGACACTTGTCTTGGAATAGGAATCTCTGAAGCGACGCGCTCTGCAGCCGGAATTTCTCCCATGTGTGCGAATACGTTGAAAGTGTCTGCCAACAAGAAATGTATTCTTAGTGTCAATGCTCCAATTAGTGGGTGTGGGGGGGGGGTTAATATCTTGGCCCTGTACACACTCAGTACACAGAAATTTACTGTAATCTTGAGAATTGCTGTGAAGTGAAACTTGCGTAAGTTAAAGTGACCAACATTTAAAATGTATAAGCAGGTTGTTTGACTAACGTATTAATTAGGGATTTAAAACTGACAGCAGTGCGTGATTAGTGCCAGTTCTGTGTTCTCTGTGATCTTCATGCACACAAACCTGGGTGCCTCCTGTGAAACTCTCTTCACTGGATGACGTAGATCTACACGTTAAGCCCCTTCAGGTTCTCATGTTCAGGGGTTCACTGGCTTGTCTGATCATATCAATTTACCCACCCCCAACGAAATGTCTTAGAATACATATCACCGGCGTCCAAACCTTAACCCCCAGTGGCTACTGTATGTATGTCCCACCCGCTTTAACATAACAAACCCCTGCATTCTTCCCACAGAGTGGATCTGTGCGTTCAATATGACTTTCACAACAGACAACGAATGTTTCTCAAATAGCATTAATCGGTTGGGCTTTGTAGTGGAGCCGTAATATGTTCCCTGTGCGGTACGGACTGAATTCTTATGTATTATTTAGACGAAATTCGGTCTTTAAAGGGTTAATTCATTAATCTCCAAAAGCGAGACTGGGAGATGTCTGAGGGGTTCGGGCACAATATACATTCAGTTCATTGAGGCCCTTGACGTGCCACTTCTGTTGATAACGGACAGACGTAATCCAAATGTACGCCAGAGCCAATGTTAATCGCATTTCGAAACCGTCTGTTACTGCTTCAGCAGTTTCGCCATGCACGTCCGTAACACGCCTCTGCCTTCTTGACCGACTTTCATCACCGCTCGGCATCGCGGACACACGCTAAATTTTGTCGGGCTATGTGGTCAGGTTGAAGAGCTGCATCCTGGTGGTTAAGCTGACCCGAGGTCAAGAATGATAGAGCTATACTTCCACTACCCCAATACGTCTAAAAGGCGCGCTGCTTAATTAGTTAATCAGAGGGACAACTCTACCTTTACCTTTACCAGTGATTGTGGCTCTAAATGAACGAGTACATGTACACCATCCTCCTCACGAGTGTCTCCTGTTGCAAACCGCGGTCGGCAGAGTGAACTCCTAAGGTCTACATTTCTGACCGGACCCTAAACGCTTCCAGACCCAACTTATTCTCGTATGAAGAAAGCTGTCTTCTGGGATTTGGCACCGTGTATATGTGGTGTTAACCGACGTTTCGGAGGAACGTATCGCCTCCATCTTCAGGGTAGAAGGAAAATATAAGAAATCTGAAAGCGAAGAGACCGTGAGAACCGGCGGTTGCTTCATAGTGACCGCCGTGAAAGCCTGAAATGTTACATATTATTCTCGCATGTTCCCCTATTTCAACTTGTTCGGGTTCTTCTTCTACTTCATAGCCGCAATCTCCTCTTCAACTTCCTTCTATTTCTTGTTCCCTTAATGCCACCCTCCCACTGTCTCACCGTTCCTTCGCATCGCATCACCTCACTTTCAGTGTTGTACTACTACAACAGTTGTATCTGTTCGCTCAGGCAGCCGTATCCCCATTCGCATAAACGCAGCAGATTTAGCGCACGGCTGTCCTCAGCTATTACAAATGATTCTGGCCATAAGACATTAGTGTATTGCAGAAACGGTTACAGATAAAACCACGAAACAACTGGACAACAGAGTGGAGATGCAGGTACTCTGCATGTGTCAACGCAATGTTCGAATTCTCCCCATGTACGCCCCAACTCTGACACACGGCCTGTGGCATCGGAGGTCGGTACACTCCGTCTTCAAACATCCCCACAATCAGAAATCTTAAGAAGCAAGGTCCGGTGATCTATGGAGCCAAGGAATGGGTCCTGCTAGTCATATCCAAGCTTTCTGTATTTCAGACACCATTTTACTTGATGGCGATCGGAGCGCCACTCGCGGCTGATATGTTACAATCAGGGTTGCCACTGAAAACTTCACAAGTTTCCTCATTATTGTCACGTTTTTACAGTGACTACAGACGTGGTTTGGATTGGTGACTCGATTTATTGCTCACTTTGATACAGCCAGTGACTACACTTTATAGTTCACTATTGCATGCACACTAGTGTCCACGGTCACGTCTTCACTGCCGTTGCTTGGCAGTGGCTTCCAACGGCCGATGTTCCCCTTCCTGTGGGTTCCCAAACTGTCCCTGACCTCGGCTACCAGCTTCTAACAGCAACAGATGACAACAATCCCAGCGGTTGTCTAACTACGTCACTAACTCACCAACCGACTGACTGACTGACTCACTAGGAACTTATCCTGCTTGTAGTATCTCCGCAAGGACCACTGCCTAGTAACGGCCGTTGTATAGTTGCTTATTTCGAGGTCATTGCCACATGCTACATGCCACACTATTATCAAGTTGTTTCCCTTTGTTTTTATCTGTAACCTTTCCGAAAACACACTGATTTCCTATCACGTAAAACATTTACGACAGGGCAGGGTAGGCGATTGCCGTCAGGGGCAGCTCCGTGCGCTGTGTCACGTCCTTGCTCCTAGCAGCGAGGTGAGTTGCACTTGCTGTCTCATCGCCGCACCTCGCGGCTTCATTATTGAATATGCGACCAGATTTCACCCGCATCCAAGCAATGCAGTTCATATTGTTAGCTAATGCACTGGCACGCAGCCTGTCCGTCAGCACCGAAATATAAAAAAGCGGGGTAATTCTGGCCACAATTTCTGGGTAAAGTGGGTCAGCACAAGCGATAGGTACATGCGCACTCTTGAAGTGATAGGCTTTTAGAAGTGCAGCAATTTTTGCGTCATCCTGTACGTTCCCCAGTCACGACGGTTCGAAGGTGTTACGAGAGAAGTCTGCTTTCACTTTTTTCCTGGCAATGCGGGCATGAAGTTTCCAATCCATTCGTGAGGTAAACACACGCTTTAATTAGGAAAAGGATTCGTGGATTACCTCACGCCGTGTTACGCCTAGCCACAACGGGGTCGCCAATTCCAGCACAACTCAAGACACCGAACAGTTGAATCGGTCGCCCTGCGGTGAGAACTGGATCTTAGCGCGGCCGACAGGTGTCAACGAAAGATTTCCACTTTCAATTCATACGTGAGGACAGAAACCCTTTCTTCGGACAACAGATACAACAGACGGTACAAAAGCCGTTCATTACTGGTAGCAGTCTCATCCTCAGAGGCCTTAGGAAGCTGATAGTCGCTTGTCTATTGAAAAAAAAAAAAAACATTCCCGGAACCGGACTACCGAGTACGCTGTTCACAACTGCCAGCCACTGGACAATTTCATAAATCATTTAAATAAAACCCACAAAACAAAACAAACAACAAACTCCGTGGCTTGAGTCCGCAAGCGAACTATAGCGACCGAGCGACCGCCGCTTGTCGGCAAAGTTAGTGCCAAATTTGGCGGATACGGGTGCCGCATGGTCAGCACAACGAATCCCCACGGCTGTTCATTTCAGTTTTCTATACCGGAAATAAAACCCACACACTATTCATTTTAATATTATTCTGTATTTCGAACAGGTCATGATCTCCCCATTTCTTGCGGCGCCCTCTCTGGCAGGATGACTGCAGCTGCCCTTCTCCGCTACCAGGGGACCCTGGTCACTCGCCGACGCCTTCTGAACCGACAGCACAAGAACGGAGTTGAGCGAAGCTCCATGCCAGTCTCCTAGCAGCTTCTTACAGGAAAGGAAAATGTACAAATTAACGCTTATGTATGGAATGTGGGAGCCCTCACCTACGGCTCAGGTCGGGGTTCGCTTCGTTGGTAATTCAATGCCCGAAATGAGAGGATAATGGTACGCAGTGAGGTCGAATTCTGCCATCCCGCTGGAGGGACTGACGAAAACCTCATGTCCCTCAAGTCCGATATTCGGAACGGCCACAGGGACTGCGTTAAGTCACTGTTAAGTTCACTGGCAAAATAAATATTGTATAATGACGCAGGAGAACAGATCATAACAGGGCTCTCCAACTGGTGGCACAACAGCCCCACGCGCAGCCCGCGAGGTAATCCATCACGTGACAGGGCTTTCGAATATTGGTGACAAAACTTCGCTAAACATTCCGCGTATATGTTCAACTGATTTTGCACGAGGAGAGCTGGTTATTTATTTGGCTTACTCTTCCACCCTGAAGACGGAGGCAGTAAGTTCCTCCGAAACGTCGTTAAGCCTCTACCAGACTAAACGGTATAACATGCCACTATTTTAAGATGGGAGGTTGGAAAAGGAGAAGATTGTGGTCTGAATGACAGCAGCAGCTGTCCCTGGGCTACAGAGACTTAGCTATGGGCTGGACGACCGAGAAAGTGGAGTTTGATTCCATTTTCTTTACAGCGTCTAGACCGGCTCTGGGGCCCGCCCAATCAGTTTTTGCCTGAGATCTTCACCCGGGGATAAAGCGCCTGACGTGAAACTAACCACTCACTTCCAACCAGTGTCGACGTTAAGATTACATGAAGCTATACCTCCACGCCGCCGGTCACGGTAGCCGAGCGGTCTAAGGCATGCACTGTCTTCGCTAGCTCGGAAGCCGGGATCGTGGGTTCGAATCCCACACAGGGCATAAATGTTTGTGTGCGTTTTTCTGTGTTTGTGTACAGGTAGAAGCCTTGCGACGAGCTGATCACTCGCCCAAGGAGTCCTACCGAATGTGTAAGATCTAGAAAAACCGAAGTGAACGGAGTTCATGGACGTAGGCCTAGGCCCACTGGGGCTGTAGTGCCAAGGAAAAAAAAATACCTCCATTCCCCGTGTCTTCTTGGCCTGCAGCTTAATTAAGCATAGGGACAACTTTGCCTTTTACCTTACGGTCGTTTCATAATACCTTTAACTCTGCCACAGTCCAAAGACGTGGTGGCTATTTCAATATTATCCTGCCCTGGAGTTGAGTGAGGTGTCACGATCACATGCTTTTCTCTTCAGCGAACTCAATGTCTAACGGAGTTTCTGTGTTTCGCGTTGTGATAATCATCTGTTCTCCCAACCAATTAATATCATCAGCAGACCCACGTAGTACCACAAGCTGATGTGTCCCATTCAATTCTACTTTCTTAATTCATTTGGACTTTCCTTATGGCGCAGTCCAATCCGAACTAGAAAAGGAACGGCCATAAAGCATCTCCTTGTTTCTGACACTTCTGATTACGTGATGCACTGGACTTTGCTACACAAAGGCAGCTGGTCAAGCTGTGGGAAGCTACCGAAACGTGACAACTCATGCAGCAGGACTATTCCACAACATATCAGAGCGCCTAATCCCCTCAAGAGATGATAAATAAAACAGCCAAATATAACCAAGCTTTAAGCTGCGTTTTACCAGGTCCTAAATTCGCAGACGAGGCGGGCTCAACTTAAACGTTGGTCTCTCCAGCACATAGCATTTCATTTCTTCAAATCTCGTGTCGAAACAAATGTATCCGGGTGGGAGGATTGCGCACCCTTCTCCCGTCTTCTGTTTTTATTTTTATATCCGAATAATTACAGGCAAATTGGTTCAAGCGGTTGTGTTCGCGAGATGCTCGGTTCGAATCTACGTTGGGACACTGACAATTTTGATGTTCTTCGCGCTTTTCCTCCGTCCTTCAAAACGAACGCCGGGATAGTACCTTGAAACAGGCCAGGAAGATACCTTCCACATCCTTTACAATTCACCTCTTATTAATCATAAACCATTCAGTATTACACAGGCTGAGCTACTGACAGCGTCATTAAATAAACGATAAATATAGAGTACATGGCAATTAATTCTAATATCGCGAACGTGAGCGGTTGATAACATCACGAATCAGGCCGAAATGCTTGCAGATGAGACGTTCCTTCGCGGAATGTCATGGCAACCAGACATGGCCATGAACTAAATACTTCCTGTTATCAGTGTAAGTACAGCTGTCGTTTCTGTGACGTCTGTCGTGTGCGAATCTTTTATTGTAGTTTTTAAACCGTCGTGCACACCTCATTTCCTAACGGCGGCTAGAGGGGACACTTCAATTTAACGGATATGACGTTTCATTGAGCCTCCCTACAAGCTCTTCTATGCGCCGGAAACGAGACGTAAGCATTTCCTATTACCAAGCAAGAAAGTCGCAACTTTCCTACAACAGTACGTGGAAATTACAACAATGAGGAGGAATACAAAGGTTAGGGCCACAACTGTCACACTGGGGCTGAAGTCTTCGCTTGTGTCGCCTGAAACCAGTCGTGAATACTGGTAAAGATGCAGGAAGTTTACTGTCTCCCCACGGTTTGCTGGAATTTCTGAAGTGAAGATAGCGACACAAATTTAATAGTGTCAGTCTCTGGAACTGCTGTCTTTACTATCCTAAACATGTGGATGATTAATTTGCTAAGTCTGAATTTTACCAAAAACTGTCGTGGACATGCGCCCGTCTAGTCCAGGAGACAAATGCCCCGACACAGACCCTACTTACGTAACCCTGCAGCCCACTGGAGCTTGTGACTTAAAGAAAGTGTGTGTGTGTGTGTGTGTGTGTGTGAGGGGGGGCACTATTTTCGTTTCTAAGTAACGAAAACTTCAAAATGTGTTCTTTAACTCTCCGTAGGCATTGTTAGCCTCACGCCCAACCCCCAAGCTGAAGGACCACCCCTTGTTGGCTCTCCGCGACTGTTTATTCAATATATTCGGAGTTTTCCTCCATACCTTGAGGACGTCTCCTCCATCCACAACCTGCGGACGCGCCATTCCGTAGTGACAAGGGACTCACCTAACATGTTGCCAGGCACATGCAAAAATAAAGAAAATACCATTTTCCTTTTTCTCTGTAGTTGTAACGGCTGTCATCCAAGCTGCTTGTTCTACGGGGAAAAAGTGACCTAGATGAACCAAAGTATCCGACTTGAATGGGGTCTTCTTGAAACAAACGGCACTAAGGCAAGAACACTGCTAATTTGTAAACAGGCCCAGAACCCCCAAAGAAAGAAATCACATGGTGTAAGATCTGGCGAACGGGATGGCCAAGGGAGAAGGTTCTTATCTCCATTTGCAGTAGCACGTCCGATCCAGCGCTGTGGAAGAACACGAGTGAGAAACACCTGTAAATTCCTGGGAAAATTGGGGGGGGGGCCCTCCGTCCAGTTGTAGAATGTAATCGTCATGATTGGTATTCAGTTGGGGTAACAACCAGCTTTCCAACATGTCCAAAAATGAGTCGATAGTCACACTTGCTTCAGCGATGAAAAATTGGCCGTGCACTTTGTCACGGGACACCGCACAGAAAATGTTGACTTTAGGAGAGTCACGCTGGTGCTCTACCTGTGCATGTGGTTGCTCGATTCCCCAAATACGGACGTTGTGTCTGTTCACCTTGCCACTGATGTGGAATGTGGCTTCATCGGAGATCAGTCTTCCTACGAACCTATTTTCCTCCATTTTCAACTGCATCTCCTCGCAAAAGTCACACGTTTTCACTTTGTCTGTTGGTGTAAGGGCCTGTACCAATAGCATCTTGTACGGTTTAAAACACAGCCGCTTACGCAACACCTTGGACTCCGTCATTTTTGACATGCCCAATTCCCTGCTCCCTCTACCCACAGACTTGCGGGGACTTCGCTGAAACGCCACACGCACTCTTTCGATGTTGTCATCAGACACACGAGGCCGACCACGACTCTTGCCTTTACACAAGCATCCAGTCTCTACAAACTGTCGGTACCACCTGATAGTGTTATTCTTGTGTGGTGCATCTTTTTGAAACCGTGCACGAAACTCACGCTGCACTGTAATCACAGATCTGGACACCTCAAAACGGAGCACACAGAAAGCCTTCTACTACTGCAACGCCATATTTGAAACTGGCCCCGCGGCCACGCAGTAACCATGAGAAGCGACCTGCTGGTAGCGCATGACAAAACTTGCCGCCGCTGACGGTGTATGTTGTGCCGTGTAAGGTGAGAAATAAATTTAGTATTCACTTTTGAAACCGCACCATTCTTTTGTGTATACTTTAAACAACACGTGGCCTTTAGGAAGGCAGATGAGTCACTTGTCTGTTCGGTCAAAACTTCACAGTTTCTTCGAACCTGCAGTGTTACGTTAAAAAACAAGCACAACTTCTGAATCTTCTATTGGTGAATAAGTGCATCTGTCTTTTCGCAGTTTTTAAACAAAGACTCTACAGTGATAAATTTTTATTTACTTTCATCAGCACTATTTATATCATTAAATTGTCAATCTACTTGTGTTCTGTGTTTTTCTTTTTGTCTTTCATTTTGTTTCACGAATCCGGATGAGCTCCACCCCCCAATTAATCCGGAGTGAGGGTTTACTCTACAACTGATTACTTAAATTTTGATTCTATTGACAACTGCCTCGAGCACATACAGTGTATAACTAACTGCGTGGGCGTACTTGCTGATGGTGACATGGTGACTGAGACTTGCTGTACACGGTGGGGGGTGACACTGGCTGGTTAAATGAAATGGCGGAAGAAAGCAGAAGTAAACGGCGTGTGTGTGTGGTGATCGCACGTGCGTACAACTAAGCAGTCCAAGAGAGAAACGCTTCATAATTTTCGTACTCATATCAATATGAGAATGAGGAAATACTGCGAATAAATGTGGTGTAGTCGATAACCTAATGGCCACCATTTGTCCTCGAAAAGCGTTCTGCACATGCGCAGAGTCCACATCGCCCGCAGGCTTTGTTAATCTTATCTTATCACGAACAGTTAAGAGAACGTTTCAACTGCAATTCTAAGCAGAACCCAACACTAATCTGACGTTATTATTAACACCTGAAAATCGTTCGTACTTGATAACATGTGACCGTCGTCTTACTGCACACGTCACAATGGGTGTTCCCCGATACGTCGAAAAGAAAAACCTTCTGGAACTCGCACATTCCAGGAGCTTTCTTTATTTTTTGGCGATAAGCGGAACTTATGGCTGAATGGTAAGCTCTAAAAATTAAACTCGAACCCCAGCGTCTACTGTGGATCAGAAATGTCAAATTTCATCCAATCCGAGACGAAACACGGCAGCAACAGACGGACACAAGCGCTGACATTAACATGACTTGGAGCAAAAACGCACGAAACGCATCAAAGTGACGAAAACCACAAGATGAGGAGTCCTATTTTCTGGGATGTCGAGCAATCAAACACGGAAGCAGCAGAGCCTGGTAGACGTCTACCAGATTACACGGCGTCACATCCCAGATGATAGTATTCTCCATAGTCATCGCCATGGGACCCTCAGCTCCCACGAGACCACAACACTTCACCGTATGCACCCATAAATCTAAGAGTAACGCAAAAGCCATTTGGCATCCCGTCGGCGAGAAGCGAAAGGAGGACTGAAGTTGTGGATCCTCACACACAAAAGGGATGGGCCCCGCTGCTTGATAGTGTCAGATGGACCATGGCTGTTCTCCGCGTGTTAACTACAGTGGGACTGCCGAACTATCTATGATTAACGTTTATGTTTATATACGGTCCGCACGAACCTTCTCATGAGGTGTGTCGTGGTGACGGGGGCGGACACAGTCTCCGAAATACTGGAAGCCAACTAAACGATATCGGATTCCGCTGGTGGTTTCAGCTGTTACACTTCTCAGAAATGGACGGCTGTTTGGTGATATGAGCTGCAATGACGGACCTACACAACATACTGGGAAACTCGGGATTACTAGGTATTTGCACATCGTCCATCGTTCGGTATTCTAAACTAACTCGACCTGTGTAAGTTTTGAGGTTTTCACGGCGATGACTATGGAGAAAGTCGTCTTCTGGTTTTGGCGCCGTGTATTCTTCGTTTTGGCCGACGAAGAGAAAAATCTTGCACTTTCGGGAATGTAACGCGGTTCTACCGGCTGACCTATCCTGTGATGGACATCTTCGGCTGCCTTCTTTCGTTCTCTAAATTGTCCTGTCCACTTGTGGTCCACCCAAGTGAAGGGGGCGAAGGCCCTTGTGGTGCTGCTGTCACGTATATGTAAGCATGCGAGTTCATCTATCTACAGCTCTTGCGGACCTTCGCCGCTCTTTCAATTTCGTTATCCTATACACAGTCGGTAGGACTCCGTCGACGGGGGGATGAGCCCGTCGAAAGGCCGCTACGTACCCGCAGAACAACATAAACACAGAATAAACGCACATAGACATCTATGCTTCAATTGGGATTCGAACCCACGATCCCAGTGTTCGAGTGGGCAAAGATGGTTCATGCTTCAGCCCGCAACGTCACTGCGATCGGTAAGTATGTGCGTTAGTTTGGGTTATTCCACTGCGCGGAAAGCATTTCTTTGTTCTCGATTCTTATTGGATATAAGGCAAGAGTGACTTGATCAAGGCAACTCGAGTCAGTTGCCTTGGGGAATTTACTGCAGTTTAAGTTGATTCTGTGTATGCATTTTGCTTATGAATTGCTTTTCTGCATTTGCTACGTGACTCTAGTCTGTTGTGGGCATGGGATCGCAACAGCACGCAGGCTACCCTTATCAGAGATTATTTTCCTAGCGTAATTTTTTCTTAATTTGCTTAGTGGGGGTGGAGTCCAACTGGGTCCACTCGGCACGGCAGCCACTGATTGGCCTATTGTAGCCTGCCCCGGGTGATTGTTATGATGGAGAATTTGGTGGAATGAAGATTGGCAGGGGAAACCGAAGTACTCGAAGAAAACCTGACCCAGCGCCACTTTTTCCACCACAAATCCCACTTGACCAGACCCGAGATCGAACCCGGCCAGCCGCGGTGGGAAGCCAGCGACTAACCGCTTGAGCTAATGGCCGCGCCATAGCGGGTCTCGTATTAGACGAAGACGTTTATTGGACAATCCCTTCTTACACTCACGATCGCAACCACTCGCACTTATAACGCCTTCAGACGTTTCCTCTTCAACTGTTATACACTTTTGCACCGCTATTCTGGGTGGAGTGTCTTCGTTCTTTTGGATCGCTCGTTGAATCTGAGCTATCCTTAGCTCTCGTTGGATCAGAACTCTCTTCTCGGCTCTCGTCGAATCTGAAAGCTGCCTGGGTCCCCTGAACTCTTCTTCACTTATATCCTACTCTCGGACGGGACAGAGGCCAGCTTGTCGAAATGTTCAGCTTCGTTGCTGCTATGCAAACGACTCTCTCGTTGGTACGAGAATACATGTCTGCCTCAAACACTTCTTTACTTAGGCACTGCTAGCCTCTTCGTAACACTGTTATGTTTTCGTGCTGTTTAAGCGACTTCCTAGGCAACGGGCTGCTTATATTGCGTTGCCTAGGAACTGCTAGCCGTTGACCAGTGATGGACGTCTTATCGTCCAGCCTTCCTGGCGGCATGTCACAGTATTTTAAATCAATAAAACAACGAAGAACTTTCGTACCCAGACAGATAAGAGCGAGAATTACACAGCGTGGAGTTCAAGCTAGCATGACAGGCTGTCTACGAGATGAAGGTGTATTAAGTCCGGCGGGGGAGGGGACTTGTTGGTACCAAATGAATCTTAGGAAGAGTCTCCTGACTCCTTTACCCCATGCCCACATGAAGTATGCAGCCATAATATATTTCAAACGCCTAACTGTATCGGCCGTTAAACTGCATTTATACTTCTCGGAATTACGTCGACTGCAGACACCGTCGCGACGTTTCAGAACAACACACTGCAAGGTATACACGAGAGCGCTCGAAATACTGAATGCTTGAAGACGCTGAAACCTACACACTCCAGTAACAAAGACTTCTAGGAAGTACTTATTAGGTCAAGGCCAGATGTAGGCCAAGGCAAACATTGTACCGCTTCTTGGTGGCAGATATACAGAGGGCCTGACGACATTGCACAAACTTTGAAAAGTCGCTTGGTTCCCAGATATTTCGGCTCGTAACGTACTGCCACCAGATTGAAGCCAAGAGACAGTCAACGCACCCTTCATTAAGCTGTTTTCGCACCGGTGCTGTCAGCGCCGAGGGCAGGGTGATTAATGGATATGGAGCAACTGGTGGAATGAGAGTCAACAGGAGGAACCGAAATACTGTCAAAAAACCCGCCCCAGTACCACGCTGTGCACCTCAAAATACTACACGACCTGCCCTAGGATCGAACCCTGGCCCAAACTCTTATTTTCACGCACTTTCCGTAGTGTTGCTTTCTACTTGAAACAGAGATTATGGCAACATAAACTGCACAATTTGCAGACAGCAATAAAACATACAAAATGTCGGTGCCACGTATGGAAAGTGGCAGCGTTGTTCCCACTGCTCCATGTCAATATCGTACAGATGTCCAGAAATAATAATAAAAAAACACCTGAAGCAATTCGGTGCCATCAAGGTCATGGCAATCCAACCAATTCTCTTAAATACAAAATCCGTAAGAGAACAGAAAACACGGTCACAGGAACATCTAGGGCACTCTTCCCAATCTGTGTCCCGCGGGCCACAAGTGTGTTATCTGAAGCTATTAGGACATACCATGAGTGACGAACTGTTCCGTTTTATTCCTTGTTAGTTATTATCAATCTTACATGCAACTTTATTTTTAAAACCTTTAACAGTTTTAATCGTTAAAATCTCTTCTACACCGCTCGTGTATGCATACTGCATGTTTCGACCAATACTGGTCATCTTCAGGTGTCTCTAAAATTGCTGCTGAAACTGCTGTGCTTCCGTCTGTAAGTTCAGTTTCTGGGATATGCCCTCGTCTGTGGGCCCATGTGTCCTGTGGTGTGTGTAGCTGTCACGAATGTTTCAGTAACTAATAAGATGCTACGATGCAATATTATGAATTGTTGCGTGTTCTCAATGAATATATTCCTTGATGGTGGGCCTGCTCTGCTTGGAAAGCGATCGGGACTTCGACTGGTATTTGCGCCTTAAAATGAGCTACAAATATGGAGTTTTTGATGTTCCCTAAGTTTTCGGAAGTCATGATGAAGCTGACAAGAGAAACAAGCTCCGTTTATATCAGAGTGTGAGAAACCATACTGAAAGGCTGCAAGAACGTTCTGAAGATATCTCCCAGAAAATTCACACCCCCCAGTACGAAAAGTTGGGGCACTGGATCGTTGTATCTGCCGTGAAAACAATAAACAAATAGACACGTAAATTGGCGATAGCTTCATTATCAGATAAAAGCAGTGGAGGCTCACAGGGTTGCGAGACGTCGAGGCTCACACATTTTCTACACAATCGGCTGACAGATGGCGATGAGACTGTCAGCCATACGCGCCGGCCGGCCGCCCTTTAACCCCAGGAATATCCCTGACACTTTTTTTCTGTTAGAGGCTGAGTCGACCTGAGGGCCGTAGTGCGTCTGGAAGTATTGGGACATTGGGAGTCGAACCCGAGATCTTGCGGCTTGCAGCACAGTGCCTCAACCAAATACGCTACAGCGTGCAGTATGCTGAAAGTTTAAATGCAGAACACACCCGAAACCCCGCTGTTCACTTGCTTGCGCCGCCCTTCTTCTCTGCACATCTGCGTGATTCGGGGCTTTCGGCCTCAGCAGTCCCTGCGGATATGTGCGCACTGACTGACACGCCTGTAGCCCGACACTGGCAAACTTTGGACACCGGTAGATGCTACGTCACGGTATGAAAAAACGTCGCAGTAACACAATCTGTTATTGATCTTTCCGTTCTTTTTTTGTGCATTATATAACAAAAGTGAGATATCTTTGTACTTTTAGTCTGAAACTTCAGACATTGTTTAAAAACTTGTTCAGTGGGGAATGTCTTTCTCTTACTTAGAAATGTAAGCTGCTTGGTTACGGTGATTATACTGTCACGTGATCGAGTGACTTCAGACGGTGTTTGGATTGGTAATTGGATTTAGTGACCACTTACAGACCGTAACTACAATGAATGATAACAGCCTCGCGGAGTTACACTCCAAATACAGCACACGTTAAGTCTTTTCGACTTCACTAATCGTTTCCTGGTAACGGGTTTTAACACAGGCCGCTCACGTCCTTACCATCTGGCACATATCCCACAATTGAAGTAAATGCACCGACGAAGTCTTCTCTTCACAGATGGCCTTACAATTCTCTCAGTATCTCATTCAACTGACTAGCTCCCAGGCTGGCGGTCACTTCACACCAACCTTCCGGTCTGCTATTCACAGACTGATTTTTAACTCACTAAGCTCTGAACTCCAAGTCACATTGCGACTGACAGTCAGTCAGTCAGTAAGTCTTGGTGTCGAGCCCCAGTCTATTACTGTTTGGCATTTACGGTCTTGTTTTTGTGGGGCGCCCTCTCTGACGAGAGGACGGGTCTGCCTTTTGTATATGCTGCTGGCCCTTGCCAGCACAGTCTTTCTCGGGTCTGAGTCCCTTGATATTCGCGACAATATTTTACTGTATCAGATTTGAGACTTCCCTTTTCGTCGCCTCCTACGACTCGCAGGGTCACGGTGGAGGTATTCGACCCCGCCTACACACGGGGGTCCAGAGCGCTCTAAACTCTAAACTTCGTCACGTTTATAACCCCTCGGCACGGACCACGTAGAGAACACAGCTCTTATTTTGTTGTAGTTCAGCTGTTGCTGCAGAGATGTGTTTACAGCGCCGTTGCCTAGCAACGGCCGCGGCGAGGACCACAAAAAACACAGCTTCCAACAACAGTTCCTCTGCTGTTGGGTGCTGATTCGTTGCCGTGGGAACCTGTTTCTTTGCTAACGTTACCCAGTAACGGGTCTACACGCTACAATATTTAAGTTCTTTTATAACGTTATAAACGAAACAAACTCCGTGGCCTGTAGTCCGCAAGCGAACTATACGGACCGAGCGACCGCCGCTTGTCGGCGAAGTTAGTGCCAACTTTTGCGGATAGAAGGTGTCGTGTGGTCAGCGCAACGGATCCCAACGGCCGTTAATCTCGGTTTTCTAGACCGGAGCCGCTATTTCCTTGAAACAGCTCCTCACTTATCCTCACGAGGCTGAGTGGGCCCCGTTCCAGACCCACTACTTCTCTGAAAATCTGGTAGCGTCAGGAATCGAACCCGGGACCTCTGGATCTGTAGGCAGGAACTCTGACCACTAGACCACAGAGGCGGTCTTTATAAAGTTATTTAATTATAAAAAGTATTTATCTGAACAATTTTAAACTATTTTTATTTGCGAGTAGGCGAGTCGTGACACATACCAGACTCGGGTTCTCACGGCTATGCAAACAACGGTTACGGTGTTTTGGGGCACGACACCATTTAATATGACAACAGGTACCAACGTTTCGGACGAACCTGCTGCCTCCGTCTTCAGGGTAGAAGAATAAGCCGTGCAGGAAAACATCCTGATACCGGGAAGTAGGGGCAGGAATAGGGGCTCCGACCAGTCGGGGGGGGGGCAGTGTCCCTTAAACTACGAAACGAGAAGAGAAAACATCGAGCTTAAAAGGGATGAGGAAAAATGTTCAAGGACAAGAAGAAAAAAAGAATTCCAGGAGGGTTACTGCACATATAGCATTGCCACTGTCAACTGGACGAGTTTACCATGATTCGTATTTGTAAGCGCAATGCGCGAGGCAACAGATGTTTATCATTTTCCAGTTGCTCAGTTATTCTCAGAAGTCGCAAGAGATAATAAACAATGCGTAATTTACACTGCGGTAGGTTTACAACACAGTAATTGCTCTATACATGACTATGACGTCACGAAGCCGGCCGGCCAAGAGAGGGAATGTCCGTGTTGTATTGCGCTGTTCCGGATATGCGCAGTAGCCATGTTTACGGACAACGCGGATAAGACAGAAGATGCGAGAAAAACAACACATCTCGTCCAGACATAAGACCCGTGACGATTCAAAAGAATTTGGCGCAGGAGTCTAAAAAACTGATTTCAACAAAGAAACAATGAAGAAAAACTTTACCATCGACAGATAAATTATTTGCTACAGCCGGGTACGTGGAAATATGACATTAAAATGGTCGTGACTTTCACCAAATACAAAGACGAAGACCAAGTCCTAAAATATAAGTGGGTCGAATTAATAATACAAATTAAACACAAACTCCAAGAAAGGACTAAAATATTTCGCACTCTGTAAGACAACAGACATTAAAAACGGCTGCATACACACACGTATATCCATCTACTGCTCACGTCAAGCCACTGCCTAGCGAGCAAGTCCCTACGGCTCAAGAGTTGAATACGGTATTATCAAACAGCATCATTCTAAGATATCGTAACTGCAACACTGCGAGAGTCTCTGTACAGAAACAAAAGAACACAACATTTTTGTCGTAAATCAGCAATCGGTTTCAAGAGCGCGTAATAAATTACAAAGCTTCTATTTTGATTTACGATTTATACAACATACATTAGTAATGAAGAAAAATGCTAGTCCACTGCCTACTTATACATGATGCAAATCACTTCTCATTTTATAACTCTTGGAAGTTCGAGAAATAAATTACTGATATTTTCTATTAAGATTCATAAGCTCATCATGATCATTAACCGAGGACAAACCTCGTCCATTCCGTCTCTAGCGCATACTGTACTCACCTCGTATCCCGGGGGCGTTATATTAACGATGACTTCATCTATATGAGGCTGATGTGACGTCACTTCACCGGAGACTTCTCGACCATTGTACGTAAGAAAAACTTTCTGTCCTGGCTGAAGTTTGAATCCCGTCACGGCTTGGAACCCGGGACCGATCAGCTCAGTTTCCCTGTATTCTCTCATCGCGGATGCAAGCCGTTTACTGTTTCCAGGCAGAGGATCAAAACGCACCGAATATCTCGTTTCTCCAGCAGAATTTGCGAACGTGTCGGAGTTCCCTGGTGTTTTGACCGCATGAATAACACCGGAATAAAATTTACCGTCTTCACCTTGGGCACAAACTCTAGTCCCTATTATAGAACGTTTAGCCAACCGTTTCCCGGTAGACATGGTTCACTTCATTAATATTTACACACCGCTCCAAAATTAATCCAAAGAACAAAAATAGCACTCCCGACTCAATTCTAACAATGGCGCCACTGGAAAGTAGGTCACCGAATAGCACCAGTTTTTTTTTAACGTAGTCCACAATTATGATCGGGTCAATAATTACGTATTATCACAAAACCAATTTTTGTGAGTACTCAGACTGCTTACTCTATTAACAAATTCCTGACACAATTCACAACGCACTAAAATGGAACTAAAATCCTTTTCCGAAATGTTCTTTTCTTTCGCGCCCAAAGGTTACTAAACCTCTGTAACGGAAAGAGTCAATTGAGTGTTTCGCTTTTTTGCCACTTGATTTTCATTTGTCCTCACTAAACCACATCGTCAATATAACACCACTTACAGGACGACAACGTTTGTTCATACTCTTGGAAGCAGAAACTTGTCTTCACCAGTCTACAGATATTCATGAACGAAAGAGTTCTACAATATGAACGTATCATAATGAAGTGACGCAAAAGTATTTCTTCTACACACGACCAACGTCGGCTCGTTATACCGCAGCACAAAGCCAATCAGCTGACACTCACCGGCCTGCTCCGTGACTGGCTGGATTGTCGAGCTCAGCTGCTAGCTGCAAAATTCACCGGCCGGTTCCCGGGCCCAACAGCTGACAGATAACAACAAACACACGTGACCAAGTTCTGCTCTCCCATTGGTTCCTTCAACGATGCCTGACCTAGATTTCCTCCTTGGCCGCTGCTACCACGTTCCAAGCCTGAAGTAAAAAAAGAAAAGATTCCAAAGCAATTGTAGTAGCTAATTAAATGACAACTACGCTTGTCCTTACGTATGCTACATATCTGTAAACACAATTACAATTTCATACTACGAAACAGCGAAAAATAAAACCAGTCAGAAATTCGATTATGCACTCGAACACAAAATGCAAATGTGCACGTATTAACAACACACGTGTCGTCGTCGGAGTATTAAAATTGGGTTGGGGAGGAGCCCATGTGCCCTGCAGCATCATATTCTTTTAAGTAAATGTTGATGCTACAATGACAATGACATTTAAATAACGTTAGAAGGCAAACTTGTGTGACCTTGTTTACATACATTCGATTTGCGGGCATATTCCTTACTAAATTAGATATTTCGGTACAGTAAGCGGTGCTAATAACGCAATTGACTTCAAAACTGCTAATGCACTTAAAAATTTAAATGTTGTACAAGTACTGAGAATTACTAAAACAAAACTACTTACTGCAGGAAAGACAAATATTGTTTCGATGAGTGATCAGTTCTATTAACACTTTTCAATCTAACAGTTGCTTTAAAGCACGGCGGTAGAACTCCCTCGAGGACAGTACTGAAACTATAGTACTATTTCAAACACATCCCGGGTATCGATGCTGAGAACTAACTTTGGTATCACACCGAACCGCTTTGCTTGAAAGACTATCTAGCCCCAATCAGTGGCTTGCCTCCATCTGTTAGACAATTTCTGAACAAGCAGCTGCCATTGTACAGTGAAGCCAACATTGAACACATAGGTTGTACAGAAACATATCTCTTCCAACGGACGTTCCAAATTAAAATTTAGTAGGCAAGTAAAAAAGAAGTACCATTAATAGTACGGTATAAGACAACGTGCATTTTGCCTTCAGAGCGATTTTGGTATTCACGGGATGAACATACTGGGCGTTACTAAAAACATCTCATAGAAATTTAATAACAAGTATGTTAATAAAACAATATGCAAAGCATAAAATCAGGGATTGTTGAAATGCTAGGATTATTATGTAACATTTACAATTAAATATTAATTAATATTTATTTCCTTTCGATACATAGTTGTATTTTAAGTAACAGAATGACTGTGTTATAATCGAAATATGAAAAAAAAATATAAGGAAAAGTAATCATATCGGAAATTAAATGACGTGTGATATGGGTATCTGTAGACCTTGTACTGCATAATTCCACAGATTCATTTTCTACAAAAGCGTGTTCAGAGCTACCCACCTTGCACTTCCGACACAGCTGGCAGAATTTCGCCATAAGTCGTAAAGGAGTGAAGCCGAAAATATTTGTTTTGTAATGTTGGGTATGTTGAAGGAGGATAAGGGGACGGTAGGGCTGGTTTTATGTTTAATTACAGTTTCTACAATTATTAGAAATTCGGAAGGGCATACTTATCAATCGGAAGACACAACAGGTAATTCTGAACATATGTTAAAATCGTTTACCCAAAATGCACCCAGTGTAGCTGTATAGTACAGTGACAACACAAATTTTTCGTGCAGATGTTTACGGTACCCACTTTTTTTTCCCCCATTTTGCTGTTTTAGATTATTTACTCTGTCGAGGTTGTGGTGCTGATATAGCAGATGCCAGTTACATTCGTAATCGTTTTAGTCCAGAGGCTTTAATCCATGGGAATCAGTCACTTTTTGGAAAACAGAGTGTTGCAGTTCAGCTTTTAGAAAATCCATTGGGTATAAGGTTTCGAGTGGTGGTTGTGAACAAAGCACATTGCATCGGAGTGGACGAAGTACGTTTCATCTGATTTTATAGTAGTGCGATATAATTATTAGTGGCACAGGCAACATATGATGCAAGTGGAACTATCGTGTTACAAGTTTCCTTCTCTCCTTCAAATGTGAATGTAGGGAATTAACATGCATCTCTTGATCTTTTCCAGTGGCATAGTGAATTTTCTTGGTATCCTGGTTATGCATGGAAACACTGTTTATGTTCACACTGTGGTCACCATTTAGGATGGTAAGGTTGCTTTGCTTAGTAAGCTTTCCATACTTTTACACATGATGAAATCTGAGAATTGTTGACATTGTTAATCTCCAACTTGTAACCAAAGTACAAAGCAATGGAGTGTGTGGCATACCCCTGAACTGTAATAATCTTTTGACAGGATTTTTGAACCTCTGGCATCAGCAGTTGCAGATCGTAAAATAGCGTCAGACCACGGTTTTTATGGACTGATTTTGGATAATGTGCTGAGTGAGAGCTGTAAGTATAACAATTTAAGGTTTATTTTTACATTCAGTTATGGTTAAGGAATGTAGTATATAAAACTTAGCTTGCCACAATTCAATTTAAACGTACTCTGTTCAACAAAGTTGGAGAGCAGAAGTGTAACACGAATTGTTATGTGACAGTTTCAGATTCTTTGATGGTTGTGCCAAAATCATATAAAAGTTGATGAACTGAAAAGGAAAGGACCCCTGCAAAGAATTGTAACTGAAACAGTGACTGAAAGGATCTGGTGCCTTTGCTGTCTAAGTTTTGTGAGACAATTTTTTTTTTAAGAAACTCAGTTAATATGACAGCAGAAGAGAACTTGACAGGTGGAGAAGGTCAAGCAGTGAGTGTAATACTGACAGAGGAACAGAAACAGTTTTTAGCTGCATGTGAAGCTGAATTTGCTGATCGCTATACAGACACTGATCAGGAGTTTGTTCAGTACAAAGACAGAGTGTCTACCCCACCTATTGTTGATCCATGGTATAATAAACCTAGGCGTAATTTTGATTGGTCTGCTCGAGGCAAACGTCATCAGAACTGGGGCTCACGGAATGACAGAGGACATAATCAGGGTGGTGATGGTGGTTGTTATCGCCAGGCTGATCGTTTCTATGGTCACCGTTATCGAGCTTACTGATGCAATGAGGTGTTTATATTTGTATACACTTAAATTTATACATTATTATATGACTGGACTGAACATAAAAATGGATAAATAAAAGGTTGATTTCAATTAATGAAAAATGTTGGTCTTTTTTTGTATACTGACAAAATAAGAGTGCCAGTTAGGAGTCAGATGGGACTTTCCATTTTCTGAAGCACTGCTTGTTATGCTACAGGTAAGCTTGAAAGATTCACAGTAAAGACAAAGTGAAGCACTGCCACCCAAAACCTCTAGATCTGTAACCAAATTCTGAAGTTTCTTAGTCTCTTATGAACAAATTTTGTATGCCCTTTATGTTACAAACATTTTATTCACAAATTCTGCTGTTCTTTATACGTACAATGTTGCATGAGCAACCAGCATCACTGTCTTAATGGTGGGACTGTGTTAGGTTTGGGATTTTCTGGGCAGTGGCTGTGAAGAGTACTGTCATTTGTGATGCTGTGTTTTTCTTTATTTGCTTCTTTAACAATGCTGGCAGTTCAGGACTATACAGCATCAGTTGATAGGTAGACTAATGAATTGGAATGGATTTCAAGGAAGTCGGTATTTGCTTGAAGGAACTCAGGATAACCAGCATCCTGGCCAAGATTTGAACCAAGGACTTCCTGAATACAAGTCTGTCCATTGTGGCGCTGTGTATCCTAGAAGAAGTTCACTGCCATTCTGGAGGATTGTGCTGCTAGCTGCACGCTTGGCTTACTCTTTGACCCTGAACATGGCGACCCCACATTTCTCAGAAACACTGGTAAACTTCTGCCATACTCCACAGTGCCACATTCCAAAAGACAATATGTGGGGAAGTCATAAAATTTTAATTATCACCCAGAAGAAACAGAGACACAGGTGCAAGAAATTGTATGTGAGTTAGTCCTCTATATATGCCTCCTGCAACGCATTTTCCCCAGCGATGCATTAGCTGCTGGATACCTTGATCATAGGTCTCAGTTTGACTGTTTAGGAAGTCCTCCACTGCAGAAATGACATCATCGTCTTGGAATCGCTTACCATGAAGTGGCATCTTTAGCCGAGAAAGCGGAAGAAGTTGCTTGGTGCCAGGTCTGGTGAACATGGTGGATGTGGGACAATTTCATATCTCAAACTGACAGCAAGTATCGTAGCACAAACAGGATGAGCCGGTGCGTTGTTGTGAAGAAGTTGCACACCTTTTTCCAGCATTCTGCATCACTTTTTCCTTATTTCCTCCTGTAATTTTCTCAGAAGGTTCCAGTAGTACTTGCCAGTGATGGTGATGCCCTTTTACGCGTAGTTGGTCATGATAACACCCCACCGATCCCAGAACATGCTCAACATCACCTTTCCTGATGACGGCTGGGATTTGGCCTTCTTTGCTTGCAGCGAGTCTGCATGTTTCCAATGCTCGCTCATTTCCTTTGTTTCAGGGTCATAATGATAGACCCAACATTCATCTGTCATGATCAGGTGGTCGAAAAATTCCACCTTTTTGTCTTGACACACCTGCAAAAAGTTTGTTTGCCACATCCATCCGGTACTGTTTTTGAACTGGTGTCAACAATTGTGGCACCCCACGTGCAGTGACCTTTGTCACGTGTAACTCGTCATGGATGATGTTGAAAACCGACCCATGGCTAATGCGGGCCTCATGAACATTAGCTTTGATAGTTATGCGCCTATCGGATGGGATCAAAGCTATCCGTCTGTTCCACAATTCCCAGTTCCTCAGTGAGAGATGGTCTTCCACTTCGGGGTTCATCTTCGAGGTTTGTCTGTCCACAATGACAGCGCCTCTTCCACCTGACCATTGTGTCATATGATGGTACACCTTCCTGATACACAGCGATCTCCCTGGCAGACTTCCCTTGCAAATGCAGGAACCGTATCACAGTGTGAGCCTCCACTTTCTCAACTGATGTCACCATTTTGCTTCTGCTCTTTCTGGTGGCTCCCTTTGTCAACTTGACACAGGGAAATTTGACTGTTCGGCAAGCTCAGGAAATGGGCTATCTCCATTATAGAATGATATATTGGAATTATGATTTTCTTATGGTGATAATTAAAACATTATGACTTCCTGTTGTACTTTTTGGTACAGGAACTGCTGGTTTTTTTGGGAGGTTGTAAGTTAGCTGACTAGAAACAGACACAGATTAGCACACTCTGGAAATACAGGGAACAAGCTGTACAAGGCGGGAGCATTTGAGGTGACAGTACAGTCTGATAGGCAGGAAGACCTCTCTGTTTTGTGTCAACACATTCCTGATCCTATGCAGTTCACTTCCTTTAACCTTGGACAGTACACGACAGTATTCCAGGCAGAAGTTTATGCCATTAAGGCATGTATTATGGAGAATTTAGATAGGAACTACAGAAATAGGAACATCTACAGCAGATCAACTGGCTAAGATTGGAGCTGCACATCCGTTCGTAGGACCAGCCTGTGGAATCTCTATAGGAGTTGCCAGAAAGGCGATCAGGGACTTAACAAATATGAATCATAAGAAATATTGGGGATCCTTGACTGGATTCAGGCAAGCAAAGGGACTCATACGAGGATCCTCTGCTAAAAGAGTGTTGAAGTTAAATAGGAACCAGCTACGATGGGTGGTAGGACTATTTACAGGACACTATCACCTTAAAGGACACCTCTTCAAACTAGGACTAAGTAATAGTCCAACTTGTGAGAGGTGTTAAGAAGAAAATGAAACACATATCCTGTGTGAATGTGAGGCCTTAGCTTATTTAAGATTGCATTACTTGGGTCAATACTTTATGGAACCAAGTGACTATTTCAACATCCCCACATACAAAATACTACGCTTCATTCGAAGCACAGGATTGTTGAGGGGATAATCAGAAGGGGAGGCACAACAGATAACTGTGGTCGCGGTGCAAGGGCCAAGAAGGCCCGCCCATTAGACATCCATTTATTCAAGTTTGAAGGTGATTAATATAGACTCAAAGAACTGAAAAGGAACCATGATTAACTTAAGTAAGCATGGTACTGCTGTGGCAACATGTTCAATGAAATGTTATTTTCTATTCTAGTCTGAAATAAGTAACTGAGTACCTGTACCTGTAATCACATTTTCTGGAACCTAAATCCAATGGCACAAGTGTTACACAGGAACCTGACTGACTGTATACCTGGATTGAAGTTTGTTATGATAACTAATAACACACACTGACCTCCAGTGTTATGATTTTTAACCCAATTCAAGAACTAGTACCAGTACTATCTTATGCCTGAAGATGACCCAAGAAAAGGGTTGAAACATGTAACATTACCACCAACAGCTAATGAAAGAAATGTTGACAGAGTAGTGTGTATCTGTCTCTTTCAGAATTACTGTTCTGTAGACTGTCCCATTACACATATATCTTTCAATGCTATGACCTCCATACTGTTTAATGAAGTTTTTCCATTCAGAAATGAGGCACACACCAAACTGATCAACTTTTTGATATCTACATTCAAAGACCAAGCAGTTTGGCCTACTGTTAACACACTTGACTTATAGTCATGTACTTGGTTTGAATCTCAGATGGGATACTGTCTATCCTAACTCAGTTTTTATGTTATTTATCAGTCCCTAAGGGAAAATGCTGGGATAGGACCAGGATTAGAACAAAACTTCCCAGTTCTTTTCAATTCATTATTCACCATCTTACCATTCAGTGTTACACAGTCTGACATACTGGCAGCATCATAAATTAAACTGCATCCACAACCATCATGTTTCTGAACATGAATAGATCTCTCTTCTCCATTTTCTTCTGACTAATCAGTTACGTGACGTCACTGTAACTGTAGCCCCTGCAAAGGAAAATAAATGCCTTCATTCCTTCAAGCTGTCAGTGAGTAGTGCAATATGCGAACATATAATCCTGGGAAACTTACAAAGTATGGCCTACTTGTTCATGTAGTTAGTGAAAGCACTTCAGGCTATATTGGAAATTTAGAAATTTATTCTGGTGAAGGCAAAAAGTTACAAGAAACTACTGTTTCCATTTTGGAACCATATCTTGATCAAAATTACCATGTCTATGAAGACAATTATTATAACAGTGTGGTAACTGCAGAATACCTTCTTTTGAGAAAAGTACATGTTTGTGGAACAGTTAGGGTGAACAGAGGCCTTCCTCCAGATCTGAAAGAGGAATCTAAATCCCTGAAACGTGGTGAAACCACATTCAGGAGGAAGGGGGATATTCTTCTTCAGTCCTGGAGGGATACTCATGTTGTGAACATGATTTCCACAATTCACAGTTCGAGCATGGTTGATGTTCAAAGGAGACATGGGCAAGTAAAGAAGCCTATTTGTATTTCTGTGTATAATATGTTCATGAAGGGAGTTGATAGAGCCGATCAATACTTGGCCTATTATTCTCTTACTCGGAAAACAATAAAGTGGACAAAGAAAGTTGCCTTGTGGCTTATAAATTGTGCCATTTTCAATTCATTTTTGGTTTACAAAATCTAAACCCCAATTCGAAATTGAAATACAAAGCATTTCTAATGAATGTGGCAAAGGCATGGGCTACAGACCAGATGGTGGCGGCACGAGTCAGACACAGACTTAACGGGACTGGACCCATCAACTCCCACCCCATGCAGCCCTCATGTGGACACCCCTGGGCGACTCTCGGGTGATATGCAGAAACATACCCTCGTGAAAATTGTAAAGAGTGAACATTCCAAGGGGAAGCATCCTTCTAGGCAATGCCATGTTTGCGCAGTTCACAGAAAAAGGAGTATGACTGCCTACATTTGCAAGTTCTGTGTAATGCCACTTCACAAAGGGGAATGTTTTCAGAAATATCACACTCTCAAGCACTTCTAGGAGCATTGGTAAGTGTTCTCCAAAAATTTTACTTCATAAAATTAATTAGGAGAATTTATATTAATTTTTAAAGTGAACAGTGCACAAGTTAGGGTAGTAGGTATAAAAATGCCGGTCCCCAGGGTGATTTAAATATTTAAATCGCCAGTCCGCAAAGTGTTAATTAGGAACATATCAACTGTACCAAAAGATTTGATTTGTTTCATTCTGGTCTGTCACACTAACAATATCAAAAGAGGTTAAACAGTTCCATCCAGTGTGACTAGTAAAGATTTTTCTTATTTCAATCCTTCATCCCTTACGTGTTTCGGTCTTTACAGACCATCCTCAGAGGGACATCACTACAATTGGAAGCCACTATTACAATATGTTTTTGAATGTTAAAATATATACATATAATGTTGATTAAAATATAATGGATATAAAATCTAATGTCTTACGAACTACAGTGGCTGTCTTAATATGTTAAAATATTTACAATTAGTTTGTTAAGATTTTTGTTGGAAATTGTAAACCAAGTAGTTTCGTGTCATATTTATTATTTCTTCTCAAGAACTACAAGGCGGCACATGTTTGGCCCCCTTCAAGAGAAAGAGGCATACTTGCAATAATTCTGGAAAATCCTTGTACATATGATTTTCACTTATCTTTTTCCTTCTTTTACTTTTTAGTCCACTTCCTGTGTGTCCATACCCTTATCTTCATCCCTTCCCACCACGTTTCTTTAGGGGTTTAAATCAGTTTCGGATGTAGTAAGGGTGTATGTAAGTGAAGTGGCTTGACAGAGGAAGTGTATTTCTGCACATCCTACTAGTACATGGCCCCTCTATTTATTTATTTATTTTATTATCATTGATCGATCCATTCAGGTGCATAACCATTGGATATAAAAACTGTTACTAGATTACATAGATATATTGTCTTAAGATAAATAACAGTTAAAATATATGTAAGAAAGTAATTACTGAGAGACCCCAAGACCAATTTATTATTCCTATCAAGATACACTTCAACAGAATAAAAAGAGTTCTCTATAAGGAACTTCCTCAATTATGTTTAAATTTATTAATATCATGTGCAACTTGCTTGATATTGAGGGGTGGCAAGTTAAATAATGTAATACCGGAATATAACACTCCCTTTCAAGCTTTAGTTAACTTACTAAAGGCATATGAAAGTCCAATTTTTATGCAATTCAGTATTTATTGTGAATAAATCCTTATTCTTTACAACAAAAATAAGAGTTTAAAAAATGTATTGGAGTAAAGAGTTAAAATTCCAAGTTTACTAAACATTTCCCTACAGGAATGCCTTGCTTTGGCTTTCATGATAATTCTTACAATTCGTTTCTGAGTTATAAAAATAGATCTACTGTGTGGCGAATTGCCCCAAAACATGATACCATAATTTAACACTGAGAGAACATAGGAGAAGTAGATCTGTTTCAGGATTTTCAATTCTAATACAGGTCTGAGGGAAGGAACCATGTAGCTTAACAAATTTAACTTTGAATTCATATAATTAATATGTTCTTTCCATGTTAATGAAGATTCTATTGGGAGGGTCCACTGTCAGAAGCACGTGGACTTCCGGCCGTTGTTTTTGCCTGAACCCCGCACTTTACTTACTTGTCACTTTGGATAGAAAACCAAATAAAATTCAGCAGAATACGAAAATTAATTATTGTATTCTAACATCACTCTATTAAACCGCAAACCGCAAATTTCTTCTCAAAACACGAACAAATTCACGCCTAACATCTTCACTCGAAGAAACCAGTGTGAAAGCAAGAGCCTGCAGAGACCTCTGTTTGCCACGCTGGTTTCTTGCTTGGTTTATTATTATTATTATTATATATGTTCCTTCGAAACGTCGGTTGACTTTCAACATACTTAAAAACGTTATAGCCCAGAAGATAGACCTCATAACAACCGCTGTGCGAACCACAAATCCTGTAGGTTTGGATTTCCCTCTCGCACGGATGCGAGAATCTTCAGAGTTGCTTAGGTTACATGTCCAATTAAAATGCCTTCGGAATAAGTTCAACATTATTAAGATATTGTAGTGTATATATATTAAATCTAAAAGGAAATTATAGCACCAGTTTTACTGTCGTCATATCTAAACGTAAAGTACTTTGTATAGTTTACAAATCAAACGTTGGTACTTAAATGTGCGTTCATAAATTCTGTGGCCTCGTTAACGTTCGTGTACAGCGTGTACAGTAATTAATATTGAACACTCTTGGAAACGAAAAGTGTGTTCAAGTTCCGTGCGTTATTTGTACGAATCAATTTGATTTTGTCATCATGGGGTTTCAGGATGCTTTTAATTTTGTTCTGCAAAATCCATTAGTAACTGGGACTATAGAATATGTGAAAATTGTAGTAAGTTTCAGTACATTATGTCTAGTTTGCTAATTTGGCATAACCTTAAAAATAGTTATATTTGCCTTGTTTTCTTTTTTTGTCAGGGAGGTGCAATGATACCGAAGAGGAAAGAAGTGCCAGCTTCACCAGCTGTACCACAGCCGCCACTAATATGCACAAATCCTATTTGGAAACACGTATATTCGGGAAGTTATTTTGTGCGTTTGGCTGGAGTGTGTGGGGCTACCGCTGTTGCCCTTGGAGCCTATGGAGCTCATGGTAGGTTCACTGCAGTCAAGAAACTTGCAATATTTAGTGTAACGCAAATAATGTTTATATTCTTTTCTGAAACATGTTTACAACATGTAATACCTAACATAAGAATTTGTCTGTCTTTACAGTAATATATCCGAAGGAAGGTCGAGAAGAATTAAGGAAGATCTATGAAACAGCAAATCGATATCACTTCCTGCATTCCCTGGCACTTCTTGCTGTTCCACTTTGTCGTTGGCCAAGAACGGCAAGTTTTTGATTACTGAATTTATGTTGAACACATTTCCATAGCTAATAGTTTCTCAGCTACATAAGAAATTCCCTGCCTTCTATGAAACTTTTTGGTTGCCATATTTGCAAGAATTTCATGCTGCTCCTGTCTTCAAATTATCTATCCAGAAGATGGAAGCAGATCCTGAGACATCAATGGTCATTTACCAGACTATGTGGCACCACATCGCAAGGGACTGCAGTCTTAGTATTCACTGCCATGGGAACCTCAGATATCACAAATCAATTTAGGCCAACCCCTGTGCCCTATTTCTCTGAGTTACAAGCGTTCCGTCCCCTTAGGCTACGAAGTTCAAGAAAACACATTAGGATAAATATTCAGCAGTATAATACAGTTGAGAGAACATATTCTGGTACTAAGATGTGGGATTTGAGATTCTCACAGGTTCTGTCTTCTGGGATATAGTGCTATGTAGTTCATTTGAAGGTCAACCAACTCTGGCTGCCACTTGCTTCACTCTGGTTTCTTGCTTGGCTTATTCTTCACCTTTTAAATGGAGGTGACATGTTTCTCTGAAGTGTCGGTTGATTTTCAATGGAATGCACAGTGTTATATCCCAAAAGATAGAATTCTTGCTACTAAGATAATTGCAGTCTTCCCAATTTCAGAAAAATGATTGTATAGCATGAGTTAAAGTCCTGTGGACAAACTGTAGGTTGCTGAGATAATATGGAGCAGAAATTATGAACAACTGTGTTTCTCCACGCTTTTCCTGCCCAGTACCAAGTAGAAGGACCATTATGTGGACACATGGATCTGCCATCGGATTCTGTTCATCTGACCTACATGTTCTGAACCTGCTTGACTTTTTCTTGTGGGAATGCATGAAAGAAAGCACAAGATTGTGGTGACCTGATCAGTTGCATCCTGGTAGCTGTGATAGGCAGTCAGAGCCATGCCAGACAACTGGTTCATTTCAAGGACTCAGTTCAGTTTGTGAGCTGGTGGAAGTAACTGTGTACAAGTCCCCACTACAGACTGTCACATGTGTTACTAAAATAGCTAATAGAATGGAATCTTTGCCTTTCATTCATTGTAAATTAACAATAATAAACACATGTTAAATGTATAAATGAGTGGATTTCATTTCTGTAAAAGGTAAAAGAAAAAGTAAAGGTATCCCTATAACAGGCCATGAAGGCCCATAGGGCTGTGAGACGTCAAAGCTCCCACTTCTTCTAGAGAATCGGCTCACAGATGGCAGTGAAGTAGTCAGCCTTACCCGCTGGCCACCCTTTATCCCCAGGAAGACTCCTGGTACTCATTTCTCTTAAGAGACTGAGTTGACCCCAGGGCCATAGTGCACCTGGAAGGATTAGGTAAACTGAAAAATCCAGTGACCTCATTGAGAATTGAACCCATGATCTTCCAGCTTGTAGCAATTTGACATGTTTTGCAACAAATTATCTCCCCAACAGCCTCTTAAATTTTGGCCATAAGACTTTGAATCAACCTGTATATGAATTGCTGAAGGGTATGATTTTAAATACTACTTTATGGTAGGAAAGAAGGAGTATTACATTGTGGCATATTGCATCCGTGAAACACCAAGCAGTATTGTGCAGAGGGCAAACCATTTGGATGGAACATATCCATATGAAAGGCCATGCATTAAACTTGAACTGCATACCACAAGAGAATGAATGTCATGAATTGATGCATGACAGCTGAAATGTTACAGAAGCTCTCCCTGAACTTGAATATATATGTAATATTTAAGATTTGAGGTTTTCACAGCGGTAACTATGAAGAATGCTGTCTTCTGGGATGTGGCAACATGTAGATCTTGTGTAAACTGATGTTCCTCCAAAATGTTGGTTTACACAAGATCTACATGGCACCACATCTCAGAAGATGGCATTGTTCAGGTATATAACAGTCAGGAAGCAGGAAAAGCAAGCTTATTATAGAATCCAAAGGTCCATGCTTTCAATGGTAGAAAATGTCTATCCCCAAGGACATTTTTATGAAGAACTAAGATTAAAAATCAATTAAAAAACTAAAGTTTTCTTCTCATCTCAAAACATCTCATATTGTACAGTTAGAGAGTTGTAACTGGACAGCTCCGAAGTTTCCATTGTTGCTCATAACTCTCTCTCTTTTTGTCTCCAAGTGGTAGAGGGATATATACACAGGGAATTGTAAACCATCTGTGAGCAGCAGAGTAAAGACTCTTCAGTCACATCCAAGTTTTACTGATACACAAAATGTTGAGAAGTTTCAGTGCAATTTGATACCTCCTACTTAATAAGTGATCATTTACTGATTACATTTATTTTTGCTGTTGTGTACTGGATATAGTTAGTGTCATGGATGGCAGTTAATTGTGAACTAGGCTTTATGTTTGTCATCGACATTTATGGGGCAGTCAGTAGCTATTTTGAATAAAGCGTGGCAGCCAAATTCATTTAACGTGGTGACGAAGTAGGAATTGAGAAAGTTATAATTAACCAGTTTCTTTTGTCAGCATTCTAAAATAGTACCTTTGAGAACTTGGTGAACAAATGTTCATGTCTTATATGTACTGTGTGACATGGACATCATTTCTATGTCACTGCAAAGTGGCATCTGCCTTGGGACCTGTTGTTACAACTTGGAGCTTGGGACTTTGTGAATTGGGTTGTGGTTTTCATGGCTTCTTAATGACTGACCATACTGAAACTAGGCAATTCCTTGCTAAAGCTCTAAATAAATAAGAGAGAGAGAAAGATGCCTTGGAATTTGTGAAAACCTTCTAATAACTATAGTTGGTCGGGCACACATTGCTTGTATTGAAGAAGCACGATGAAGTGGTCATGCATGGGTTACAGACACACAATAGTCTTACATAAAAGAGATTTTGGGTGGAGATAAACATCATGGTTGAGTGGTTAGCACAGATTGGCCATCCCCACAGGTCTTTTTCCAGTTTTTATCTGCTCCTCCCAGCAAATGCGGGCATAGTACCTTAAATTAGGCCATGACTGATTGTTTCCTCATCCTTTTGACTTCACTAATCATGATGTCATTCAGTTTTATATATAATCTTAGCTTTAAATAAACCAAAAATAAATATAAAAGTGACTGCAAATCAATTTAAACAAGGTACATGAATATGCAAGACAAGAAAGCTATGCAACTGTTGTTGATTGGCATCCTGTCCAGTCTCTGTTACAGAGTTTAAAATTTAAATTTATGTTTCTTCTTTTTCCACAGAGTGGCTCTTTCCTAGCCCTTGGAATGGTTCTGTTCTGTGGTACTTGCTATTACCATGCTCTCACAGGGAAGAGTGAGCTGCGTTGGCTTACGCCTGTAGGGGGATCTTTTCTTATTGTTGGTTGGCTTGCAATGATATTGTAATTCATCTCTGAATTCAAGAATATAAACTGTATACAGTGTGGGTCACCAGTCAAACCATTTCATAAAACTTTTGCTTTCAGTGTATAAGGAGTCTTGTAGGGATGTGTATATTTCTTGTAACATGGCTGTTGAACCTCAGTAGCCAAAGTCAGATTATAATTAGACACAGATATTCTCCTTGGTGTGTAATTGTTTTCAGCCCATTTCTTCATCTTCATGATCTGAAACAGAAGTACTGATAAATGACAGTATTTCAAGCATGTTACAAAGCAAATCAAGACTGAAAGTATGCAAACTATAAATGACAAGAAAATACATACATTGTTTGCTTAATTGTGATTTTCTGCTGCAGTAACTGAAATATTTGTTTTCATGCGAATGCTTTTTATGATTAAGACTGTGACACCAGACGGCTATATTTAAACATATAAGGATGGGATGCTCTGTATATTATTATTGAGAATAAGGGAATTAGTAATTTTTGTGTCTGGAAAACCATTCTTATAGTTTGGTATTTTCCATATGAGCATGGAAGACCACTACTGAGTGTTGAATATGCAAGTTAGAAAATGTACTCAGTGTCGCTTTTCTTATTGTCTCAGAAACCTTAAAAACATGTTTCCTTTTGTGTACAGCTTATGTTTGAAACAGCTTTCACACAGATATTTAATAAGTTATGCTTGAGATATGTGCATAAACACAGTAGGTCTTTATATTTGTTCTTTTGTCCAGTTTTAACTAAATTTGGGTGTTGATAAATGTTTGTAAGACTCCCCAATATCAGATTTAATAGATGATCCACAGGGTTGCAGTGTCTAAAAATGAGAGACTACTGTACATATGGAAACATGCCTGTTTAAAATGTATATGTGTATGGCCTGGCTGTACTTTATCATGTTTCTGTAAAGTGGCTCTCACTGTTTAAAGCATTTGTGATGTATTAAAGTTTATTATTCACACTGGTCATATCAGAGTGTCTAATTTCATATTTCATCAAAATGTAACAGTTCCAGTAACATGGCATGATGCTGTGACCCCATAAGAGACTGCCTCCCCCCCCCAAAAAAAAAATTCAGCTGTCATTTTATAAACAAATATGTTTTTTGCATAATCAAAACCCAGGTTATGGAGAACTTGTGAAGACTGAGGTACTTTTACAAACATAAACAGTTTGAATTTAATGTCACAATGTGCAAGCCATAGAAGTTCCTGTAAGCAGAAAGCATCTTAAAATGCCTGCAAATGAGGGTATGGGGAAATGAGTCAATGTGTAGTTGGATCCCAAATCTTTCCTGTTTATGTGATGGAGTATGAAGCATGTTATTTAAATATTTTCATACTCGTGCTCAAAATAAAGTAATTTCCATTTACCTCAGTCATATAGCTGAGCCCTTCTTGAGAAGCTGCCAACTGTGCAGCTACTCACTCCCCAGCATTCTCTGGAACCCAAAGGTTCATTACCGTGTTCATGAGAGAATCCTGTCTCTTATATTGTCCACCCATGTAAGTAAGTGGGGTGGGACTAAGTCCCTTGTACTGCGCCCACTTCTGGCCTATTGTACCAGCCCCAGATGATAAGTGAGGGTGATTGTGGAGCAATTGGTGGAATGAAGATTGGCAGGGGAAACCGAAGTACTCGGAGAAAACCTGCCCCAGTGCCACTTTGTCCACCACGAATCCCACTTGACCAGAACAGGAATCGAACTTGGGCTGCTGCGGTGGGAAGCCAGCGACTAACCGCTTGAGCTATGGCGCTTGTCCACCCACCTACATCTTGGTCTTCCTAGTGGTCTCTTTCCTCCTGGCTTTCCCACCAATATCATATATGCATTCCTCTTCTCCCCATCTCAGCCTCCTTGACTTGATAATTCTAATTATACTTGGCGAAGATTACACGTTATGAAGTTCCTCATTATGCAGTATCCTCCAACCTCCTGTCACTTCATCTCTCTTCGGTCCAAATATTCTCAACACCCTCTTCTCAAACACCAAAAGTCTATGTGCCACCCTTAATGTCAGTGACCAAGTTTCACACCCATACAGAAACAAAGGCAAAATTATAGTTTTGTATAAGAATTTTTGTGTTTTTAGGCAGCAGACAAGGAGACAAAAGGTTCTGGACTGAATGGTAGCAAGCATTACCCGAGTTCAGTTGCCTCTTAATTTCCTCCTGAATTAGGTTTTGATCTGTTATCGTTGTACTTTTTCACCTAAGATTATCACTAAGTGGGCCATGCCATATCTCAGGCACTTAGTGGCCTGGGTTTGATCCCAGGTCATGTGGGATTTTTGGTGGACAAAGTGGCACTGGGGAAGGTTTCCCCTGCCAATTTTCATTCCAAGAAAATGCTTCATACTCATCTATCATCCAGGGCTGGTATAATATGTCACTTAGTGGCCGACATAACAAGTGGATTCAGTCTCACTCCACCTTGCGAAACTAAATAACTAAATAGAAATATTGCTGTTTCCTCGTATATGTGGGTATGTATGTGTTCAAACATTGTAATGAACCTCTCATTTCCATTTAATTGCAGGGATCTTGTTGACTAGCTAAGGGAAAAATAGTTTCTCATGAATATTTAATTCAGAGGGGCAGTTTTCAAGATGAAGCTCCTTGTTGTGGTTGTCACTTTTTCTAGCTGGCTGTCTTAAAACTACGTTTAATTTAGTTCCAATCAGAAAAAGCAGTACAATGCAGGGATTACAAAAAATCTACTTGATGACTACCTTACAAGGTCAAAACATGTTGCAGACTTAACGTTTGTAAAAAGTGACAATGTAATATACTTAGTCTACCACAATGACAAGAAATTGCACCTTGTACACTCCCTCTGCAAAATAAATCACTAACCAGCACAACAGAATGATGAACATAATCCCTCTTATGAGTGATTCAGGTCATAGGAAAATGTGTATGATGTTGAGAGGGTTATAAATACAAACATAAAACATCTTGAAAACAGCATGGAACCTCATAAAGTTCACGTGGAGATGTTTGATTTGTGCTACTTCAGTTACTTGGCAAACATCAATGTGATATTCAAATTCCTCCCATGTACACAGTAATTGTGACTCATCAACATTGGCTATGGCATCTGAAATTCACTCTCAAAGGGACTGCAGCATAAGTAGAAGTAGCATGGTGTATGGTCTGGGGATCTAGAGGTTCATGGAATGGGCCCTGCTTGTTCTATGTAAGCCTTGTGCTCCTGAGATCATCTTGAAAAGACTCAACTTTCAACTTCTACAGCTGAAAGTTATCAGAAATGACCAGTATGGTTGTAAAAGAGGACAGTCCACAACACATGTATTGTTAAGGATCATAGAAATGTCACATGGTTTTACCAATAATAAAGCTACAACAGCATTATTTTTAGATATTGAGCAAGCAAGGTCTGTATCACAGGGCTAATTGCTAAACTTCTTATGGCCATAATCCCACCTCAATTAATACATATATATATAATACACAACTATCTCCTTCTGTATAATGCATAAAAACTTATTCATGTCAGAGTACCTTAGGGTAGCTTGCTCAGACCCACACTCTTCAATATTTATATTAATGACATTCTGTCAGTTGAAACGACACTAATGTAGCCATTTTGGTCTATGCTGATGACATGAATATTAATTAGTGTTTGGTCTGGCAGCATAGATATAGCAGTTAGGAAGTTAAATGCTGGTATAGGCCTTTTAGAACAATTGTTCTGGAAATGAAGAATTAATACCAAAAAATGCCTAATTACTCTGTTTTCCAAACAACTGTGTGACTATTGCCACATTACGCATCCAGTGAAGTTTTTTACGACATAGCTCAGACAAATGAACCAAAGTATCTTGGCATCACACTTGATCCAAAATTAACATATGGGACCCACATATCCTGTATTCTGTACAAAGATAATTACAGACTGAGGCAACTGTTCCCTATATTAAAGTCCTCAGGATAATAGAAGATTGCCAATTGTAACCTTATGTGAACAGATGGGAATGCTGTTAATAAGATATAATATCAAGAGTTTAGTGAGGGCACTGTATTAAAAGTCTTTAACCAGCAAAAACAGTATGACACTATGATCCAATTAGTGATAAATATCTGCATCCCCTATCTCTGTTTGCAAAATAATCCACTGTGTACAGCAGTCTTAAGGAATATACGACTATAAGGACACAACAATTTGATGAAATCATTCATCATCACTATCTCATCTCACTTGGTCCTAGAGCAAAGGCTGAGTTTGTACCCAAATTCCATGTTTCACTGCATTCTTCACATGCAGCACCTCACAATGGCAACATCAAAATTTTGCCCTAATGTAGCTCTCCCCATGTTAGAAAAGAATTTCACTATAATGCAGCCATTCCAACATAAATATCAAAATTAATTCCAGTCATGTGCAGTAAAACCTGGGCTCAACTTCTTTCCTTGAGGCTTCATAATTTTTTACTTCATGAAGGTTCATTCTTTCTCAATCATAGCCATACCAAGACAAGTGGATACTGCTTGGGAACTTTCAAACTGGAGATAAAAAATGTTTCTTCCTCCCAATCTATCTACCCCACTTTCTCTTCTTCCCCCCCCATAATTTTTTCATTTTCTATGCGGTCCCTGTACTCTCATGGAGGCTTCTGAGATCACCCTTCTGTCTCTCATGGCAATTTTTTCGTTCTCTATGCCGACTAATGAGAACACCTTTGTTTCTGTGTTGCCCTATTGTTCTTGCTAGGCAACAGTTCATCATTTTCTATGCAGTTCATGTCAGGAGAGTAGGCAATTAATTCTTCCCAGAACTTGTTAGCCTATTTTCTTTATTTTGAAAAAATATGGGGCGGCTTATATCACCTTATTACTGTCCTTCTGTGTGTATCCTGCCCTGATCTTTGAACTTTTGCCTAGGAACAGAGCTTACGTATCCTCTCCAATTTTTGTCAGGAGGCATATAAGATCACCTTGCTGTCTGTGGCCCCCCCCCCCCCTCCCTGTCGTTGCTAGCCTACTTTCCCTGTGTCTGTATATGTATGCAATTATGAGTAAGAAACTTCTCCAGGTCTTGGGCCATTTTCTATGCAGTCCTTTCCTTATTTTGAACAATTTTCCTTTGATACATGATTATATCTAAAACAAGGCACCCAACAATTCTTCCTAGGTAATGGCTAAAAAATTTGAGGGGGTACACAGAGAGACAGGAGTTTTTCTTTTCACTCCTATCAAACTTTCTGGTTTTTATGAGGTTCTCCAATCAACATTTTGTGCATTTCCTGGGATGTATAGTTCTACAACAGCATGTCATTTCCAGCATAATATTCAGTTTCAGATTTAAAACCACTCGTTCCTATTAGGAATGTCCCAGTTTTGACAATTTTAGTAAGTAAAAAAGTAAGTAAAGTAAAGCTATCCCTGTAATAGGCTGTGAAGGCCCATAGGGTTGTGAGCCTTACGTGCCGACCGCGCTTTACTCCCCAGGAAAACTATTTAATTCCTGGTACTCATTTCTATTAGAGGCTGAGTCGATCCCAGGGCCATAGTGCGGCTGGAAGGATTGGGTCAACTGAAAAAAATCCAATGACCTCATCGGGACTTGAACCCGCAATCTTCCGGCTTGTAGCATAGTGCCTCAACCACTACGCTACCACGTGCCCCCCAGTAATTTTAGCACAGCTGTATTTTTTTTATTGCTAGTGGGGTGGGACTAAGTCCCTTGTACCGCTCCCGCTTCTGGTCTATTGTACCAGCCCCAGATGATAGGTGAGGGTGATTGTGGAGCAACTGGTGGAATGAGGATTGGCAGGGGAAACCGAAGTACTTGGAGAAAATCTGCCCCACAAATCCCACTTGACCAGACCTGGGATCGAACCTGGGCCGCCACAGTGGAAAGCCAGCGACTAAGTGCTTGAGCTATGGCACGGCCCTAGCATAGCTGTAACAACTTATTCTGTGGAGTAGAATCCTTCTTAAGAAACTAACAGTCGCTCATTTAGTCAAGAGATTCCTCACCTTTTATGGAATAGCAAGTTTTAATTACCATGTTCATAAGAAGCCGCTACTGGTAACATCTTTCACCCTATTTCTATTACGTACATTTTAATATTATCTGCATATACAGTGGTCTCCTTTTTCCCAGGCCTGTATTTGTGAATATAAAGACCATAACAGGTGCAAATTGTAGGGAGATCTCATCTAAGGTTCATCTATGTCCATTCCACACGAATACAACCTTATATTCTTCTTGAAGTACAGGAACATGACAGAAACATTAAGACAGAGCTGTCTGAAAACTGAATGGAAATACTCCAAACAGTGCAGGATGCAGGCTAATTCTGGTAGTTACATTTAAATTTGAAAAACATACTAATGATATAACATTAAATGGTTTGGATTTTCCAGTAAGAATTTATACAGCTCCAAATTAACAGTAGCATATATTTAAATACTCTGGTCTTGAAAACCGAGATTAACAGCTGTGGGAATCTGCTGCACTGACCACGCGACACCCCCTCTATCCGCAGAAGTTGGCACTAAGTTCGCCAACAAGCGGCGGTCTCTCGGTCAGTAGTTTGCTTGTGGACTAAAGGTCATGGAGGATATTTAAATGCTGGTAACTAACAATGGCGGGTAGAAGTGGTGTGTGTGTGTGTGTGTGTATATACAGGGTGCCAAAATTGTGAAAATAGTTATATATAAACATGGGTCAGGAGTGTGTTCTGGCAAAAGTACGATCAGAAATGTGGTTAAAAAGCAATATGCTATGGACACTACTGAAGGAAACTGGAGTTTATCATGGACGTTGCGTTGGTCCTCATTCAACACTTAAAAAACACAATCATGCTATTCCCTGCAACAGTAGGGCAGCAGAAGTTCTGTTGCTGGAGTAGCCTTATTAATATCAGAGGACAGCACAATTTGGGTCATAAATTTCTCTGCCAATAGCAAGAAGCAATAGACAATAGACTAAGAATGAGGTTTCAGATCTTGGTGATGGGAGGCAGCAACCAATAGGGTCATAGTAGATGCTCAAGATTTGACCCCATGATGCATGGATTGATGTATGCATTGAAAAATGTCATGTGTGTTGTGAACTGAGCTATGGCCACTTTGAATACTCTGCAGCAGTTCATCTGCAATATCCACTCTTGAGGCATACACACAATTTTGTGATGTCCCTAAAGCAAAAAATCAAGGGAATTTAGGTCTGGTGAATGACTTGGGCAACATTCTGGCAGCATGACTGAAATGGGCTGGGGCACTGTCATCCATGGTTTCGTTGAATATCCAGTAACTCTGGCAAAGTGCACTCCATAAATGTTATTAAGCAGCACCAATGAACACGAGGCAAAAGACAGTGGCCTTCAACAGTCGCAATCAATAAATACCAGGTCAAATATTAATTGAGAACAGCTATTGAAGTGTGCTCTGTAGGTTTATGTGACTCTGAATATGCGTGCTACAGAAATTCAATATGCCATTCAATGTGAAGCCTGTTTTGTCAGCAAAGACAGTACATGGCTGGTTGACAGGATCCTCACCAGTGCTAGAGGAACCACTGGCAAAATTGTTGCCATGGGCAGAAATCAAGCAGACTCAGAGCTTGTACCCAATGCAAATGCTGTGGGTATGGCAACTGTTCAAGGTGAACCTGCCACACTGCTGTACCCATCACATGCTCAGCAGGTTGTATTTAACGAATGCTGGTATGGGGATTCTCCTCTATGCATCTCTTCCACATCAGCTTTCATGACTTTCTCCATCTTCCACTCCCAACTGTAGAAGGGCAAACAGTGCCGGTCTCCCTGCTGTGATCAATGACATGAAATGTGCATGGGTGCAGATGTCTGCATTGAGGACATCTCTCTGTGTACAGCCTTACAGCTGCTGCACCATTACCATGGGCCTTGCAAGAACTAAGTGCTTATTGGCATATCCATTTAAAGCACAGACTTACAGAGCAACTATGACAGTAAAGGAACACCACTTGACTGTATGTACAGTTCACTGTAAATAGCCTGCTGTGACATGCTAGTGTATGTCAACTCACCGCAAACATGACAACTCTATGTCCTGTTGTTGAATGGAGAAGGCTGAGAAGCAGTCATTCCCATCGTCCACCCTAAACACCAGTTTCCTTCAAAGGTGTCCCAAGCATACATTACTTTTGTAACCAAGCTTCTAATCATACTTATTATTTTGTTTTCTCTTAACACAGATATAATACACATTAAAACGTTACAACATGGTTCAGCCTTTTGGCCATCATCAGGTATTGTACATGCACTTTTGACTTATCTGCTCTACTCCCTACATTGGCCAGTATTTACATATGGGTATATATTGTGTTGTTAGTCATTTATATGTTGGTGCCATGCCCTTGAACTCATCCTAGCTATAATGTTAAAATATTAAAATGCAAGTCACCAGAATGATTCTAAGAGTGACAATAATGCAAAGGACAAAGTTCCTTACAAGAAGTAGTGGAACAGATCACCACCCATGTATGATACTGGGATAAATGGAGGAGCAGAAAGATAAATGGATTTGTTTCAAATATATGAACATGTTTTATGATATACTTGAACTGAGTGTTGATTTAAACAAATACCCACACTCAACAAAACATCAGTGAGAATGATGAATGCTTCTAGATAAAATGGAAGGATGTCAAGACATACATTCCATTCATACAACAAAAGAAGAAACATATTTTATTAATGCTATTGCTGCAAGGCACACTGCAGAAAGCTAAGGTTGGGAAATTATTTTTCTCTTAACAAACAGTTGGCAATACTAGTCTCTTGAGATCATACCAAGAAAGATATTTGTTCTTCCAAAATTACTGTACTTCACAAACAATGGTTTCAATAGCCATTTAAATAACTGCAATAAAAAATTCTGATAGCAGCTAACTGCCTACTTTCATTTGATATGACACGGACCACCGCAGAAACGTTTTTACTGAGCCACTGCCTAGTAAACGAGTTGTGACTTAGCAACTGAGCTAGGCATCCACATATGCATATGGAGACGGAGATACAGAGGTGATCTCATAAGCCTCCTCTTACCTATTTTTAGGAAATTAAGTTAAAAAAGAAGCCATTCAGCTGAACCATTCATTATTTTTTCTTGAGTTCTGCCAGAATTTTAAACATTTAGAACAGGCACCATAGTCTTGGTGTTGTCAGGATGTGCCCTGTCAGTGTTGGTTAGACAGGATGAATTTCCTTTAGATGATTCTCAGAAACATACACCATGTTAACGACAGAAGAATTCAAAACACAATGTTCAGCAAAATCATAATCATTCAGCCTTCAAGTTCAAGCGACATGTTATCAAAAGTTTCAGTACTTGAGCTGTTCATGCATTTTGCATCACAGAATTCTGTTAATGGTCATCGCAAAAATATATCTCTAAGGTGAGGAATGTATTATGTAAGTAGTGCAGTTAAAAAATTATAAACTGACTTTTACTGCACTCCAAAGCATCCATCCCCATAGAAAAGTAAAATGTAACATACATATTTTATATAGAGGAATGAATTGGAAAACAGTTTTATACAACAAAAATTAGTTTGCCAAATAATAAAACTTTAAACACTTTTCACTCTGACATACAGCTCACTCACCATCCGTGTACACAGTCTTCTGAGAGAAAAACAGAATCTTTTCTTATGCATAGTGAACAATTCAACGTTTCACAAACTAAAGCTGTGCAAACCATATTAAGCTTGCATTTATCACAATGCTCGACATGTATGGATGTATTACAATATATACACGTATATGTATGGGACTAAGATAATGTGTCCATATAATTGAAGACAAAGCAAGATATGGGAACAAAACAAGATTTTGAACACAGTAACTGAAATTTATGAGAACACAACTTAACTCCAGCATGAACAGAAAATTTACTGCACCATTAACATTAAATACAAACCAATATTTAGAATCTTTTTACCATTGTCTTGCCATGTGTCCTACTGTGGTATACTGAAGTAAGAAAATACAGAGCTGCCAACCGTGATACTACACCTGATTTATATGTACCTTGTGGGAAGTTTCCATTTCAGAATGTTTTTATCCCTTTACTTTAAATCACATCTCTACCACTTTCCTTGTATTGCCTGGCTTATTTATTATAACAAATGTTTTGTAGGCAACAAACAAGCTGAAAGACAAGAAGTCTTTAGTCCCACTCAACATTCACAACAATCATTTTCCTCATGTTTTAAACAGTACACTACAAATTCCATGCTGCTTGACAATGGATGCACCCTAGAAATATTATTTCTCTCACAATTTTGGACTCAGCAGTGCTGCAAATGATCGTGCATAGCTCGGCAGTTTTATACATATTTATATATAAAAAATGACATGAATGCAAATTAGAAGTATAAACCCAACTTGCTTCGAAAGACTAGTTTAAAAAATTAATTAACATAGATATATAATATATATCTTCCTCCAAGGTCACCAAACCTCACTTCACAGGGTTCACAATCTTCTTCAGAGTGTATGAAGTTTTACTTTAAGGAATAAGTATATTAAAATTAATTCACACTGTGGAGGACACATATTAAAGAAATGCAGTTCTGTTCTTCAAAGATTATCTTACAGCCTCCAGAATGTACGTTCACAAACATGCGAATATACAACATACACACGCAATGCACACCATATCTAATTCACATACAGCATGATATCAGGTCTTGTTTGCAATCAGACGGCACACTTCTAAGTGTGTTCACTTTCATACATAACACTCGTGCTCTATTACAAAACTGAGTGTCTTGGATCATGTTAACATCATTGCTGTTTGTCCTTTATTCACACCTGGTTCACATTCCTCCTGTTCGACTTAAAACTTCTGAACTTTCGAATATCACTAGAAAGGATCCCAACTCTCCAAAATCTGTTTCTACAGTGCTAAGAGCAGCACTAACAGCTTCTATTAGTGTCTCAAGATTCTTATCCTCCCTCTCCATTTGTGTTCAGCTTGTGTGAGCTTTTATTCTTATAGGACAGCTTCCTTGCCAAAGTCAGTAGCGGTATATGTATGCTATTAATTTGACGAAGTTGGGGTTACAAATATCAATGCCCTTGGTTGGAATATAGGTGGGATATTTTCAATATACTTTCCTATTAAGCAAATAAATCAGGTTTCCACTCATAAACTGCACAAAGGATAACGGTTTGTAGTAGTAAGACGGAAGCTTCCATGTGCAGGGAAAAATGACGTTGAGTGGGCAATGTAACAATTACTTCAAACGAAATACTTGCACACAAAGTGCTCTGCAGTAATCTCATAGCAGTTAACATATGATGCATTTGAGCTAAGATGGGAGTATGGCAAAGTAAAGCAACTAGGAGAGATGGAAGGAATGTTGACCTTCTCTGGCAGCAAGGCCAAGCTTCGCTCGCATCACCTCCAATGATGAGTAATCTGGCAGCTTGAGGTAGTTCACACATGTCATCACAGAGGGTAGAAAGTCATCAGGGTTCATGTTGGGTTCCAGTGTCTTCCGGACAACAGTCAGAGGAGGCGACAGACTTTTGAAGCCTAAATAACACAAAATTAATTAGCACCATGCACAGTGGTAACTACAAAACTCATTCTTTCACAGACTTTCTCAGTAACTCCATAAAGAACACAGTCCTTCTTGAGAAGCTGACAGCTGATCAGAAAGTCTGGGTCTGTATATAAACTCCATTGCAATAAACCCCACTCCCTGTCATTTCTTTTCAGAAAATGTTTTCAAAGTCAATTCTAAGGGTTCTGTAATGGTGTACTGCAGTTAGGATTACAAAATTTCTGAACTTCATCTTTCATCTAATAAATATTCTTAAACTGGATCAGTTTCTGCCCTCAAGTGAATGGATAGGTCTCCTCACCTTTCACCAGAGGACAGACACAGATCCAGATTTAAAAATGCTGGGTTCTTTCACAATTAGGTCACAGACAAAGCCAAACTCCAAAGTGAGTTTGTTCCTGTACACACAAGAAATTCCACATGCACGCATGCACACAGAAGCATGAAGCAGAGCAGCAACTTCCACAGACAAGCATGAGAAAATCTTATTAATGTGACTATTCAGGTAAGATCTTCACCTTCAAATTAAACATTTCCCAAAATTCTACTGGCAGTGTTAATACACATGAACAGATGGATAAATATGCATTCTTCAATGTAACAATAAGAAGTAAAGTTAAGCCTCGCTAATCTAGTTAGTTAATCCAGATGGAAATATGGAAAATGCTGTTCACAGTTGAGTATGTACTTCAAAAGACACATGGCATTTAGGAAAGGAGATGAATCAAACTGCATTTTATGTTAAAAACAAGTACAACTTCTGAGTCATCTATTGATGAATATATGTACTGACTTTTTATAGTTTTTAAATTAAGGCTCTACAGAGATATCTGTACTATTTTCATTAGCACTACTCATATCATTACATTTTCCATTTATTTACATTTTAAGTTTTTTGGTCTCTTAGGGATACCTTTTGCTTTGCCAATCTGGATTAACACTTAATATGTATGACCCTCCCCCACCATTACTTGGGATTAACGAGGGTATAGTGTAGAGCAAAACTTATCTCAACAGATTTATACTGGTTATAAAGGCTCATAGTAAATATTCAAGCAATAGCATGCAATGTGGAAACATTAACTGAGTAATAAAATTTGAAATATTATTTCCTTTTTGTTTTATTATCACTGTCATTTCCTTTCAGTTCATTACATTTTAAATTTTCAACAGCTTCGACATACCTACATCAGGGAAAGGAACAAAAGATTACACCATCACAGCAGCCGACAAAATATAATGGGTGGACTCAGTAGCAACAGTGACCTACTGTGTGCATGGTGCCATATGATAAACAATAAAAACCAGTATAACATGAAATACAAATACTTACACTCTCTATCATTATCTCTATATTTCAGAAAAATCATTCAGGAGAAGGAAAATGCGCAGGCATGGCATTAACCAACACAGATCCTACCAATTATTTCTTCAACAAATGTTTTGCTGTTTCCCTTTGCAGTTTTGTAGCTGTGCCAAGTAGTATCACCATGAGCAGCACCTCAATTATGGTAATTGTGGTCACTGCCTCTTTATGGGAAAAATGGAGACCTTCAGAAGGCAGCCTCACTCCCCCCAACTGCTGAAGTACTTCTGCCACGCACTCCATGTGAACACAACTCCAGAGTTGTCTTCACAGTCCACTACATGCCAAGTGATATTCAGGCTGCTCCACTGTAACGTCTCCCCTTCGATGTTCCACATTTATGCACTGATTCACAATCAGAAGGCTTCTTCTGTTCCTAACGCTCATCTGTCTTGCCACAAGAAGTGAGCAAAGTGCATTAGAAGCACTATGTATAGAGAAGGTCAACTACTGAACACATTTTAATGATTTCACACATATAACCTCAGCAAACAAAACCAGTAAATAAAAAACACATTTTCAGAGAACCCGTGTGGAGATGGGGTCGAATACCTCCATCATGACCCCGTGAGTTGTAGGAGGCGATGAAATTGAAAGTCTCAAATCTGAGACAGTAAAATATAGTCGCGAGTCCCAAGAGACTTGGACCCGAGAAAGACTGCGTTGGCAAGGGCCAGCAGCTTATGCAAAAGACAGAGAGGGTGCCCCACAAAAACAAGACCGTAGCTATCAAACAGTAATAAATATCTGGTCATGAGCCCCACACAGGGGTCGACACCAAGACCTACTGACTGACTGACTGTCAGTCGCAGCGTGACTTTGACTTTGACATTTTCCGAGATACATAATCCAATATTTCACACGTCATAAAAACACATCATCCATACATGAATAACAAAAACACCCCCCCCCCAAATGCCTATAATATATCACCATATGACTATACTACACAACACAGCCATTAAATAACTACATTCACCCAAACCAGTTTTCCCACTTTTATAACTTTTGGCACACATGGTGTATGCTGCTGGACCTTCTCCAACCCACAATGCTTTCCTTGCTGAGAAGCTTCTATATACCTGGAAGCAGAAAGTCGAGGCGCCAGATCAGGAGAACAGGATGTTCCACCAGAAATCTTAGCACAAATCTCTTCCATTTTGAGACTACATGAGTGCTCCGTTTATCCATCCCCAAATCTTCTGCTCCCATTCTGACAGTCATTCTCTGATCAGTATGAACAAGCTGCCACACTTTCTCAGCATTTTCATCTGCTTTTGCTGTTGTTGGCTGGCCTGATTCAGAACAATGATGGGCAACTGCTCTTTCTTCTGAGATCCATTTATGCCTCTTGAAAATTTATCCCTTCAACACTGTGGAGCTTCTTCTAACAAACTGTAACTTCTGGCAGCTGTTATCTTCAGTTAAGCCAAGAAATATGAGATTAATGCACCATTATGAAAAAATTTAGATATGTTTATGTCATCAAATCACAAACACTTCCATGTAATTCAGTACTGTGAGAGACTTAATGAATGCATAATAACTCGAACAACAGCTAAAGTGGCTCACTGCAAATGGCACTGACAGGTTTCACACAGGATATGATGGCAGCACTTCACTGTAGCCATTCCTGGAACCTTTTAGCCATACATCACACACTATCAGCCTTTCCTTGTACACTGTTCATACAGCCACTTGCAAACTTCCTCCTAAGGATCTTTACAATTTGCATCATTTGTTTTGCTGTCATATGCCCCTGCTTCAACAGGACAAAAGCAACAAACAACAATTACTGTATAAGAAACTGTAGCTTACAATACTGCACACAACTAAAACAGCAGGGAAGCTGAAAGCAATTTCATTTGCAAGAAACAGCAAAGTATCCAATAATGAATTAACAAGGTTTTCCAGTCAACCTGGAAAAATTAATCTCATATGACAAGGATAAATTGACTTTACTAACCTCCAACAGGCAGCCTAGGCGAACCAGTGACGAACTGGACAAACTGCCTCTGCTCCTCACGGTCATAGAGACTAAGGATTTCAAAGAGAAAGCGTATGGCACGTGAATCTGCTGTGTAGCCATGATCGGGACGGCAACATTCCATTAATGTTTTAACATCCCATCCACTTGCACTGCCCCCTGCTGCCAATCCACCACCACAAAAAACAGCCTCCAGTTCCTCTGGGTAGAACATCTGCAGCTGTGACAGTGGGAATACTGTCTCGAAACCTTCCCGAAATGCTTCCATTTGGCGTGACACACCCTCCATCAGAAACCAATGGCACACCAGCTAATTTTTGAAAGAAAATTTAAAATTAAGACATGTTCATAGACATTCCGTTAGCTTCTTCAATCAAAAGATCAGGGCAGAATCAAATGGCTATAGTTGTTCAACATTTTAAAGCAAATATAGTTGGAAATACAACAAAGCTCCAACCCAGACTTAATTTGCATAATGAAAGACTCCTGATATTGTCATTCTCTTCCTCTGTACACCCTGCTCAGTCAAGATGGAACAGCTACAAAACTGATTCTGCTGCTACCAACAGAAAATGGTGGGGTGAAAATATGAAAGCAGATAATGTAAAAGGAAGGTAAATCCACATAGAAGGTGTTTGTACTCACACCAGGGCTGCATGTGCCCTGCCAGGTGGTTCTGTGCACGCTCTGTGGGTATACTTCAGCTCCCCAAGCTCATTCTCTTGGGGGGGGGGGCGGTCTGATATCTTGCCATTTGTCAACTGATTTCACAATACATAATAAATAACATAGGAAAGTATTAGAGCAGAGTCAGGATTTAATGCTTCTCAGTCTTAGACTTTCCTGCATTCTGTGTTCCCTAGCCCCAGCCAGAACCCCATACAAATAATGTACTCTTGCTCCCAAGTTAGTGCTATACCTGCATTCAGTGCATGAAATCTAATTCTTATTACATAAAATCATAGGATCAGGATGTACCCAAACGGCACAGTGTTCCACTCCCATATTTTCAAAATCTGAAGGGTCATCTGTAATTTGAGTGTGAGAAATATACTGACAATTTGATTTGTTTCATTCTGGTCCGTCACACTAATAATATCATGAAAAGTTAAGCAGTTCCAGTTCAGCACCCGTCAAAAGAAATAATAAGAGGGACAACACGAACCTGCTTGGTTTACGAATTCCAATAGAGTCTTAACAAATCAATTATAAATATTTTAACGTATTGGAAAGCTGCTGTAGTTGTATAGATTTTAGATTTGATACCCAGTTGTATAGTATTAATATTGTATGTATACATTTTAACTTTTAGAACATGTACTGTAGTAGTGGCTTCTAACTGTATTGATGTAAAGGTGTCCCTCTGAAGATGGTGAGGGCATGAATAATTGAAATAAGAAAATTCTTCACCAGTCACACTGAACGGAACTGTTTAACTTTTCATGATATGCTGACAATTTTAAAGTCTAAAGCTTCCAGCAGGTTGATGTTTCTAAGCTGCAGCATATGCTACGACTGGTGCCATAATGTGCTGCCAGCACAGCAAGTGAGAGAGTCTGGAATGCGTTTCATGGTCAGGCGCAATGACAACTTAGCCTCAAGAGCCATCGAGGTTATAAATCAGTAGCTGCAATTCCCAATAAAGATGTATTACAGTGAAAAGTGATGAAGTTGGGAATGACAAAGTCTGTATGTAGTAAATAAGAAACGGATTTAATACATAACATATTTCAAAATATTTACTATCTTCCCCGCTTTTTAAGTGTAATCACCATGACGTTAGTGCATATTCAGTCCCTGATGAAAAAGTGATCTTGGATTCAAAATCATCTTCCACGAGGGTAAATACTGTATTTACACCCTTTTGTTTGTTGAAAGGGACCCTGAATTTTATGCATCTTCTTGCTGATTTTCAATCTGGGGCTATCACAGTATTAAAATACCAATTTGGGCAGTTAGAAATTCCACCTCCTACCTGAAACTAAAACCAGCCCAACTTTCCATGGAAAACTTCATAATATGGAATTCCCAGCTACTGTCATGGGCAGTGTAAGACCACATACTGCCAAGTGCCAAAACAATCTCTCCCCAGTTAAAAACACAAAATTTCGTTGCAATAAATAACACAAAATTTTTAGATATTGTAACAAAAACCACTGTAATTCTTAGAACAGTTTCTACTTACACAGTTGCCAATGTTATTACTGCCAAAAATTTTCCACAATATGAAAAATCAGCATGCATTAATTTTAATACAACTACTTGTTTGTAACATACACCATGCTAGCAGATTTAAAACGTCAATTAATTATTAACATATTTTATTTGTTTACATATTTCATTTCACTTGTTGAATCGCTCAGCAAATAAGTTAATTTGTTGCAGCATCTCGGTTTCATCAGTTTTCAAGCTGCTTTCTTGCTTTTTTTTTTATTGCCAGTGGGGTGGGACTAAGTCCCTTGTACTGCGGCTACTTCTGGCCTACTGTACCAGCCCCAGATGATAGGTGAGGGTGATTGTGGAGCAATTGGTGGAATGAAGATTGGCAGGGGAAACCGAATTACTCGGAGAAAACCTGACCCAGCGCCACTTTGTCCACCACAAATCCCACTTGACCAGACCTGGGATCGAACCCGGGCCGCCGTGGTGGGAAGCCAGCGACGAAATGCTTGAGCTATGGTGCGGCCTACTTTCTTGTTGCTTCAACAGAATCAAAAACATATACTTATCACACCACGTACTGTTACACTTGTCCAGCAGGAACAAAGAAAGGTTATCTTTGTGTGCGGCAATTAGGCATACAATACAGCATCTACAGTTGTTTTTAGACTCATCTAACAAATATTTTATCACTTTTTATAAACTAAAGCAAATATGTGCAATTAACAGGGGAGATTTATCTGAATTTAAGATGCAGAAATATTGTTGTGAAAGCAAAGCTTAAATGATGGGACAACAGACACTCCGGAAAGAATCTGGAAGGAAGCAGACATGTGTGGCCTGAAGTACTATCCCAGCATTTGTCTGGAGACTGCAGAAAACTATAAAAACCCTCAGTCAAGATTCAAACCAAGCAATACCTCTATGTCAACCTGTTTGGTGCAATACTGATACAATATAGCAAAAACATTACATTGCTGATTTCTAAGCATCATCAATCTGGCAACATTTAAATTAAATAAAAGATTTTTAAGCTTATGACTTCAATTGTTGTGTGACTGTGCTTCACAGATATGATCATACCAGGGCAGACTGGTACGTGCATGTAGGTACCTAAGGTAAAATACACCCCTGCAGTGGTATGGAGATGGGTAGCCCTGATTTACACAAAAGATAAAATCTGTAGAATGAAGCAGCAAATCCTAGGTCATGACATAAGAACATCATTTCACATATCCCTCTAGAGGGCACACCCCCACCAATGTGCTTCTGCCGCAGGGGGCCGCAATCCATCCAAACAGGCACCCTCCTTGGGGGTTGAACTAACAGCCTCACCCAACATAACTTGCCCAGTTTTAGTACATGGTGTACCAAATCCAAGGATGCATCAGGGACGCACAATACATCAAGCCCAGGATGAATCTGCCAGTGATCTTGGAGAAGAATACCGAAGTCATCAGGGGACCCCACCCCATGGTCAATTCTATAAACGCTTCTTTTTCCCAACACTATCTTCTGAGATATGGCAGCCATCATGTCAATGGTCATAAAGCATGACTTCTCCCCCATCCAGCCATCATCATCATCAACAATCCTTACCGATATGCTGAGCATGTAGCGAGGGAGTGAGAGTGATGGCACCATCCCCTATTAGTTTCTTGGGGCATCCCTGTTGGCTGATCACACTGCCAGCACATGGATGGCCCAGTGCTGTGGTAGTCAACCTCTGGTGACCATGGTTCCAAGGGCACTCCACCCTCTACCCTCAGGGCCAGTTTGAGGGTGCTGCTGGGCACATTTCTCTGTCCCTTGCACAGGTAGCCTCCCTGTGAATGAAGCACTGCAGCAGCCTGACAAGGGCCAAGTGGGCCAATTGCTCAATGGTGGAAGCAAACTGTCGCCAGTTGGTGGTCCTGCCACAGCCTCAAACTGGTGACATGGACACATCAAACCTTGGAAGCTTCATCCTACCCAGTCTTGCTGCTGTATTCCTGCAACCTCCACACCATCCTAAACTCCCACCATGTGCCTTCTACCGGCATATTCATTGCTTTCCATGTGGAGTTCCTCACATATGCACTGAGTCCATTTATCAACAGACACCAGAATGCCTTCTACCAGGTTGCTGATGGCGATTTCCTCAAATTTGGACCAAATGGCATTTGCCACAGCTTCCATCTTTTCTTGACCAGCCCTTATTGCAGCTTTCATCTCTTCAATGTTAGCACTTATGGCCTTCCTTCTGACCTGCATCTCCTGTAGAGCCGTTAACCTGTTCCAGGTTATCCCTTGATGGCTGTCATGTCCATTCCATCTGCAATCCACAATCCAGCCCGTTTCTGACACCAGGTCTCAATGGACAGTGACTGTATATACGGTTCTGATCAGTGAATGGACTTAGTGGACAGAAAATCCTTTTATTTACATATAATTATGACACTACATGTATTCACTATTGTTTCACAACCTTCTATTATCACTCTGGTCCGGTTCCTGCCTAACCGTCTTCATTGACATGCAGTGCTAGCTTTCAGGCTGTGATGATGGTAAAACACTCCTCGAAACAGTTCCCGTTGTGAGTATACATTGTCAGGAATTGGTGCTTAACTGTACCTAGCAATGGGCACCTATATGACATTTATCTGATTCCAAGATACTGACTTTTAAATGTCATGTCATGTTAGAATATAAGCTTTACACAGAAACTGTTCTTTGTGGTTGGAGTGGCTTTTAACATCTCAGCTCTGCACATAACACATTTTTGCTTTCCATGCAAGCATCTTACCTATACATCACTAAGGTTGGGCAAAATGTGACCTGAAGCAATGGCTATACGGCCTTTATCAAATTTTAATTTCAATCCACAGTATACAGACAGTTTTATGATCTTCTACCACAAAGAAAGGAAGGAAAAAGAAATCATTTGGATACTGATGGAAATGCAAGTTTTGGGGATCTACCTCATGTATTAATTACAATGTAACAGCTGTATGATTCCTGTCATTACAACTTCATCAGGCTGGAACTTCAAGCAAGGCACTGGCTCTCAAGTATAAGCCAAGCAGAAGTTTGCAGACCGCCCCACTGTTTCAGGAAACACTGCAGTTGCCACCATCATGGTCGGTACCTTTTGGGGAGCAGGTTTCCAGAAGCAAGCAAGAAGCAAGCAGAGGGAGCTAAGGGAAAATGGTATACATATAAGATGGTGTAGGAGCCCTGAGTAAACCAACAGGATGATGTGCTCTATTCTTCATATTCTCACATTCTAATTATCCTTGTTTGGCTTTGCCACCTGTACAGAAGGAAACTGGACATGCTACAAAGCTATTCAACATTTTTCTGAGCACTACTTTTACACCTAAGTTCACTATTATGAATGCGTCATAAAATGTTGAAATACACTACTAACCTTTGCGTACTGATCTATGTTATGCACAGAGAGAGAGATGTCTCTGCCTCCCTTGCGGAGCTCAATGCCTGCATGGCCAGGCAACGTAAAATCAAGGCCGAGATCCTGTATAGGGCAACCATCCAGGTCTAATTTCTCAGCCCACTTCCTACGCTGACTAGCAGTCAGGTCAGAATCCCTGTCAATCTGATCTTTAAGGCGCTGAACATCCTGAAGGCGACACAGTGTACGGTGCACTTCTGGGCATACATGTGCCAAGTCTGGAAGAGATAGAGTGGACTCCTGGCCTAGCAGCCACCGATAGAATACTACACTGAATGGCAAGTCGAGCTGTAACACAAAGCTGCTTTGCTGTACACAAATCACATAGCATGATTATTTACACAATAATAACATAATACCACAGTACTGTAATACTTTCCATGAAGTTAGGCCCCTCTCAGCCCCAAATTACTAGGTACCTTTCTACAGCAAGACATCTACAGAACTTCACACTTATGCAGTCATCCTTTGTTACTAACCTGGCTCTCTTGGAGAATTTTCATTTTTGGCTGGATGATAAAAAAAATTTGGGAACAAATTAACTGTTACCATGCACCACATCAACTGAAGAATATGTACAATACAAATAATCATTTCAAGACCAATATGGATCCTTCAGATACATGCTGTATTGCCAACATTTCAAATTCCGCCCCCCCCCTAGTTTCTTGGGGTGGGTGAGACTGAGTCCACTTGGTATGTCAGCTACTATTTGGCCTATTGTACTAGTCCTGGATGATTGATGATGAGCGTGGAGCAGTCTCATGGAATGAGAATTCGCAGGGAAAGCCAAAGTACTCAGAGAAAGCCTGTTCCAGTGCCACTTTGTCCACCACAAATCCCACATGACTTGACCTGGCCTCAAACCTGGGCTGCTATGGTGGGAAGCCAGCTACTAATCACCTGAGATATGGCATGGACATTCATATGCCATTACTGTCTCTGTCTTCAAGGCAAGGTACAAGCACCCACATTAGCACAACAAATGCCTGAAATCTTCTGCAATATTTTGAACAGCATGACTAATAAAAATGTAAAAGGCAACAAACACAACTGGGACTATACATTCACCACAACCAACAAAAACTGTGCCATTCTTTACAGCTATACAGTGTATGCAAATTCCTACCTTAAAAACTATTTTCTGCACACAGTATTGTGCAGGCATCACTCATGACAACTGTGCTGACTGATACTGTACTGCACTGCACTCACCATTCGAGAATCCATTACAGCTTTAGCCATGAACTTGCCCAGAAAGCGGAATTTACTTTTAACTTTGGCAACATGATTGGACTTGGCTGTACGACCAAGAGGGGAAGGGAAAAGGCCAACTGCAGAATGAATGTAGCTTGTGGCTACCCCTGATGCACCATTATTCTGTGGAGTAGAGCGTTCACCATGCCACAGCTCCAGGTCTGAGCGCTGCATCTCCCGTGATACTAGGGCATAGAACTCCAGGGTTGGACCCAAGCCAGTTCCAACCTGACAACAAACAATGCATTCAAAATTAGAAGCAATCCAACATGTCATATGCATGCTGAAAAGTTACCACTGCTGGTCAAATGGCAGAAAAATGCAGATAACTAGATGGTATCTGAAAGATATGAAACAAAGTACACCAATATTTCTATGTTCCCAGTGGGAAACGCTTATTTAACATACAGCTGCAACAAACTCTTTGATTATTCATGGTAGTGGGAACAGTACTAAAGCTATCCCTGTAACAGGCTGTGGAGGCCGACAGGATTGTGACAGGTCGATGATCCCCATTTTCTAGGCAACAGGCTCACAGATGGCGGCAAGGCTGCCAGCCTTAGGTGCAACCCGCCCTTTACCCGCCAGGAAGATTCCTGGTACTCATTTCTGTTAGAGGCTGAGTCGACCTCAGGGCCATAGTGCAGCTGGAAGGATTAGGTCAATCGGGACACAAACCTGCAACCTTCTGGGTTGTAGAATAGTGCCTCAATCAACTATGCATAACCCCAGTGGGAGCAGTGCTGATAATTAAGAACAATGGATAATCCAAATATCAGTACATAATGGAATGAACTGCAGACTGTAGAGTCTAACAGTGGTGTTGCTGCCACTAAACAGTGAGACAAATATCTTTCTAACAGAAGAATGAACCCTTTCTTTCAATGGCAGTAGGCTGGTGTGAAAAGAAATAACATAATAAAAGGGGAAGTTGGAACAGGGTGAGGAGGAGATGTAAAGTCCACTGCAAAGTTTTCATTGACACATTAGTGAAACATGTTACGGGCAAGCAGATACTGACCATGTTATATAACACTAGGAATTACTAAGTTTCTGGACTTGGTCCATCGGTCAGTATTCGACAAAACATTAGTGACTGAGGTTAGCAGGTTAATCCCCCCCCCTCACCTGAGGGCAGAAATAAATCCAGTTTCCAAAACACTGTGTTCTCTAGTGTTTTCTCGAATACTAGACAATGGATGAAGTACAAAAACCCAATAATTCCGACTGTAATCGGCAACATTTACATTACAAGAGGCTACAAAAAGTAACTTAGGGGTTCTACAACTTCCACAATTAATTTGTGGTGTGGGTAATCAAAAGTCTACTCTGTATATATTAGAAAAAAGCACGTCTCAATAAACAAAGAGAGTATTTCCGAACAAATTTTTTTCCCATGGTCACAGAACATGTGTACACAGTTTCTTCAACAGCAAATGTCTGCAACCAAGACATGCAAAAATTGTTACCAACACAAACCAGAAAAAACGCACAAAGGGACACCAATGTCACAATCTACCTGTTATGTTAGGTGTAACAATTATATCCCCATTCAGTGTTTAAGTTATATGACTATATCAGCATTCAATTTCTAAATAAACAGACTGCCAACTGTCACAGCCTCTTCTTTTCCAAACTTCAGNCACTGCTCAAATAGATACCGGGCGCTCATATTATAAGGTAAGGTTATAAAAACCATCTTTTAAGATCATTTTAGTGAAAGTTTCATGCTTCAAGGCGTACCATTCACTGCTCAAATACTAAAAAACCTGCTTCCATTGAAGATATAAAGGGCGCTCATATTATAAGGTAAGGTTATAAAACCACCTTTTAAGATCATTTTAGTGAAAGTTTCATGTTCCTATCTCATAGAATTTAAGAACAATGATGAATAAATAATTTTCGAGCAAAATTTAAATGGCCGGCTGAATATATTACCGCAGGAGACGCAGCCGCGGAATTTAAATTACCGCGTCAAAGGGTTAAGGGGAATAAAAGACTGGACACAATTTTTCTGAAACGTAACTTCACCTACTGTTTATCCACATCCTTGGAACTGATGAGTTGGACTGCTTCAGGTTTGCATGACAGCATTCAATTTGTAAGAACTGTTAAAAATCAACACTAAACACAAGGGCCAATAAGAAAAAGATACTGTAAAAAATATGATCTCCCATTACAGTATTCCTTAACATCATACACAGTGTGTCCAGTTCTGTTAGGACTGTGTTCATTAAAAATATAAGACGTGAACTATTTTCAAAATTTCACTCTTTTATTCAAAATAGTCTCCTTCTGAATCAATACGTAGCTGGAATCGATTGAAAAGTTTTCAAAAACAGTCACTGTACTCCTTTTGTGGAATCACATTTAAAACTGTGGTACTCGTACATTCCCTTTGGATGTCCTGGATGGTGTCGTAACGGCCTCCTTTCATCACCAACATAACTTTTTGGACCAACCAGAATCTGCTGGAGCCAAATGTGGTGAATACAGAGGATGATCAAGGACTGTGATCCCCTTTCTGGCCAAAAGATCGCACATGTTCTTCAATTTGTGGGGTGGGGCATTGTCGTGGAGGAGCAACCAGGAACCTTGCTCTCGATATTCAGGCTGAATTCGAAGAACTGTCGCCCACAAACTATTGAGGATTCCGAGATAATAATCAGAATTCGCTGTTTGACCTTCTGGCAGAAATTCTTTGTGAATGATTCCTTTGGAATCGAAGAAAATGGTTAGCAGTATCTTTACTTGACTCTTTTGCATGTGCGCTTCTTTGGGCTCAATCACACTGCACGCTTCACTCTGCCGCTTTGTGAGAGGTTCATATTGAAAACATCATGTCTTGTCACCAGTAACAATTGATTTTGTAAATTTTGTATCACTTTTGGCTGACCGTAACATGTCTTTGCAGTGTTCCACTCTGGCATGTTTTTCATCGCCTGACAGGGCATGCGGTACAAACCATGCACAGACCTTCCGTTTGCCCAAATCCTCAGTCAAAATTTGATGCACAGTACTTCTTGGTATTCCCAAAAGCTCCTCGATGAGTCTTGCCGAAACACATCTATCTGATGCAAGGATTTCAGTCACTTTTTTCAAATTTTCTTCAGTGCGACTTGTTCTCGGCTTTGATGCACATGGAGTGTCTTCAATGTCCTCCCTGCCATCACGAAATACAGCATACCATTGAAAAATGTTCGAGTGACTCAAACAGTCACTACCATGCACACTTTTCATCATTTTGTACGCTTCTCTCGCTCTTTTGCCTTACTTCAAACAACTTCTCTGTTCAACCGCCATTTTCCGACGAGCATCAGAACAGTACTGTTACATTCAAGGTCAGAACACATGATGCAGCGATGCTTGCGCTTTCAAATTATAGACAGCCACAGCTGAAACTTCAAGAATCTTACTGCCACAACTTGCAAACAGATGGCATTGCAGGGCAAAATTTAAAAAAATGAGTCCTAATGGATCCTGGACACACCATCCATGTCTATGCCCAAATTATAATAATAAAAAAGTATGTCAAATTATGTAAAGATTTCCTTACTTCATCATGGTACTGGACTTCTAACAAGGCTCTTGATGTAGCTGATTCTTGCATCAATTGTTCAGCTTGTTTAAGAATATCGTCTCGAGAAATGACGCGCTTCCGTCTGTCCAGCCTCGGTGTTACCCGCTCCGTTGAGTCCGAACTGCTCAGTTCTGGAGTCGACTCCAATAACCGCTGCAGAGCACGATCACGGTCAAAGGAGGTTGCATAGAACAGCAGCTGACGTGTTTCAAATGGGAAGAGAAAGGGGCTGAAATTACACAAGATAAATCACACTAACAAAGAGAACATATCCTTGGAATGCTATTAAAAACCGTTTCATTCATGCAGCACACTCACAAGATGTATCCTACTGTGTTACACTGAAGCACCCCAAAAAATATTCAGGTCAGCATTCATATGAACCAAACATAAGATGCCACATAAACCTATATATGGTAGTAACACCAGTCTCACAAGAATCTGATAACTTACACAAAGGATATACAAAAGTAAAGTAAACCCTTGCTGATCTGGTCACAGTCAATTCTGATTATTGTTATAAGTATTATTCCCAGTTTCTCTTTTACCTAGCATTCAACTTCAATGACCTGATGTTAAAGGTGTGTGTTCAAAATCCTCCATATAAGGTTTCCATGTCAGAAGCAGGGTAACATTAAGGTAACATTAGGACCATAAGTCTTGACATGGTTTCTTTTCCAGAAACACAACGCAGTTAAAAAGTTCAGATGATAAGAACATGGAAAACACCGAGTTTGGAGCCCATTAAAATTAAATTATGTTAAAGTCATCATAAACTTGTATTAATGTAACTGTTTATATGCTCAAGAATGTAACCCCACAGATGGCTTGGGACCACCTTATTCAAATTTTCAAAATAATGCCGACGACGATGATGATGAAAAAAGGTATGGGTTTAATGATTTTCAGTATATACAGCTCTTACAACACAGACACTTGTACTGGAAAAGTATAGTGCATAACTGCCATCAGTCAACACTTATGCATATATTACATTTGCACTATATAAGTGACACAGTTCCTCCTGTGTCTACAAAGCTTGAAGAGAGCATTCATGCATAACAAAAGTAATAATCCATACATTATTAACCTTTTACACTAGATGTCTGGAAGAAGGCAAACCCAGTACTCACTGAGCAGGGGGCTGAATGGATTCTAGTGCTCTATTGGTGATGTGAAGAGAAAACCTTGCCCTACCCTGATCCTCAGCTGCCTAGACAGGCATTTCTCAACTGTCAGGCCATGGCCCGGTACCGGGCCCTCTGCTTATAAAAAAATAAATTATTGGGCTGTGGTCTCACAAAGGTTGAGAACCAATGGCCTAGACTATAGCCAACCAAAAAATTCCAGTCATCATGAATCATATTCTAGCTGTTCAGCTCACAGCCCATCAGCACATTACATTAATTCTGTATTCAGCATTGTAGTTCCAAATTAATTTCCTGGCAAGTCACAGGAGTATGGTGCTGCCTTCTTCCTAACCCAGACCCATACTCACCACACAGCAGCTATCTGCTGAAGCCACGAGGGCAAGTTACCCGTCATGATAACGAGAGGGTCTTGAAGCTGCCGACTTGCCTTCGCAGCTACCTTGCTGTTCACAAAGTCCTAGAAATAACAATAATCTCTATGTTAAGAAGTTACTATTCTTTCAATAACTCAACATCTCCTTAGCGAGCAATGATGACTGGTGGTGGAAGATTCGACTGCACTGAAGACACAAAGAACTGGACAAAGTAGATGTAACCTGTTTTAAAACATTTTAGAAGTAAGGAAAGGAATTAGCTTCAAGAAGCTTGCTACTCTTTAGTTGAGAATTGTATACATCCTCAACCCAAAACTGAAACCCTAATCATTAAAATATACTGGTTTTGTATGTGTGTGTAACATTGGGCCCTCAATCCTAAGGGAAGAACACAGATAGGGGACATACTAGAACAAAGTGCTGCAAGTATTTTGGATCAAGAGAGTTCCTGGGATGGTGCATCGGTTGAGAACTACTGGTTCCCAGAAACAATATTTCTTCTTGAGTCCTGCATGCAACCAGTGCAAGTTCTGGCGAACGCAATCTCCGCCAACGCTGCCCTTTCCAGGCATATCCTATTTTGGCCTGACAAAAGAAAGAACACGTTCAGACCACACTTTTCTCTACTTTTGTGTTTCATAATAAGCCTTCCTTTGAAAAGCTTCTGACTTTCATCACTGAAAGGTTTTGACTCTCCAACAGCAAAACCTCATTTTTATTAAATGTTCACTGCAGTATATACAGCAAAACTAGGGACCTGCATTCAAGGTACATTTTTTGTTGGCCCTCATTTGAAGCTCTGTAAGCCTAACATATTATTTTCTTTGATTTAAGGGTTTAGTCAGATTTTATGTAAAAAAAAATTGATTCCTATGCATCAGATCTTGTTTTTTGTGTCAAAGGGAATTTTTTGCATGCTCCCACTCTCATTTGGCCACAGTTGCAGAGTTCAAGGTCATAATTTACACATCATGCAATGCACAGATTAGTAAGGCAGACTATAATAAATGATTCCATATGGTGCTGCCACATTCTGAAAAGCATAATAATTACATACAACAGTTGTAAAAGACCCCCAAAAAATATTGGGTTATGACAATACACTGACCTCTAGCCTGATGGTTCTCTGGGCCACACAGTGTAGTGTAAACCTACCCATACCAACCTCTACCTTAATGCTGGGTCCCACCACCACCCATCCAACAAGCTAGCTGTACTTTTCACACTGATGCACGGAGCTAGAGCTCTATGCGATCAAGACAGCCTACACGCAGAGATGGTGTTCCTGAGGGACGCTTTCAGGCAGAAGGGTTACAAGAACCGGCAGATCTACAGAGTCCTCAACCGTTGTCCGAACATCAGTCAACCCAATGATAAACCAGACTCAGTCGGGGACTATATGCAACCAAATTAGCAGGGTGCTGTACCAGTACAACATCAAATCAGTGGGCCAAGTATCTAGTTTCCTCAGGCTGGTCAAAGATAACCTGGAACTAAGGACATCGGGTGTACACAGAATCCCCTGTGAGTGCGGCAAGGTCTACATTGGGCAGACGGGCCGTTCTGTGGACACGAGGTTGAAGGAGCATCAGTGGCACATCCATCTCGAACATCCAGACAAGTCAGCTGTGGCTGAATACAACGTTGACTTGGGACACTGCATTCAATTTCACAATACTTCTATCCTTGCTACCAAGACCCAATATGTGGATCACATCGTTAGGGAGGTCACTGAGATTGAGCTCCATCCCAACAATATTAACAGAGAGATGGGTTTTTGTCTCAGCAAGTCATGGAAGCCTCTCATCTGCTCCCTCACGAAACCTCAAGAACATGACGTCAGATCTACGTGGCTACCCAGGTCAATGCACGCTCAGCAGCTTAGCCCCAAGGCTATTGGGTCAATGCCCCCTCCGTAGTCATGCCTCCCCCCTCCCCATGATCCTAATCTGGCTCTTACCTGCTACCTGCTGGCCCATCTCCACAGACCCTTCCCCTCTACTCTATTTATTTTCCATGTAGCCCACTCTCCCTACCTTCCTGTTCTTACATAGCTGGGTGTTTCTGACTGGTGACTCAGTCTGCAGCCAGTTGCTCACACTGGTTCCTGGCTCACGGATTTTATTCTACCCTGAAGATGGAGGCACTACATTTCTCCAAAATGTCACTTCACACAAGCTCTACATGACGCAACATCCCAGAAGATGGCATTCTTCAAAAGCTAACCACTTTACCACTATACTATACTGCATCATCATCACATACATGCTGCTATGGCTTTAACCAAAATTCCTTAAGTGACTGACAGATGTGTCAAGTTACTCCGGGAATTTGACCTGCAAACCCCCAAAATTTATGTCAGACAGGCTCACAATAAGCCAGGGTGACCACTACCCACCTGCTGAATCAGGATAGGCATGTACTCCACAGCAGGGTAGAGCGTGCCCCAGTATCTGTTGAGGGCATGGAGCACTCGCAACAGGCACAGAACTTCCAGAGACGCATCCTGTATTGACACTGTATCCGGAAGTTGCGGGCTAAGGAATGGTTGCAGTGGCGATTGTAGTGCTGGAACAATGCCTTCTAGAACATAGAATTGCCTATTAGCCTAAGCTCATATTACTCACAGCATGTATTCAGCAAATTTACAGAACACAGCATTCAGTACAGCAGGCATACTTTGACATAAAAACCAAAAAACTTTTGTTCGACTTCAATAAGCACGTAAAAGTATACTGGAAGTTCTGAAAATTATGAGATTTGAAACTGTTACTAACACCACAGAGCAGAGTCTTCCTCGAGAAGCTAAATCTTGCACATAATAAATTCCCGAACTTTCATGGAACCTTAAGTTTTATTACTGTGTTCACAGGACCTTCATCCTGAGTCAAACACATCCAGACCAGACCATAGCTCTTTGCATCACCATTCCATGTACACCTGTGTCATCCCCATGATTCCTATTTTTAGGTTTCAAAGCTGAACTATGCATGCATTTCTCATGTCTCCTTTAAAACTGCTTTTAAAACTGCTACTCAGTACATTATTAACACTTTGCGGACCGTGCCCGCATTAATATGTTTTTCGCTTTTAAACGTGGTGGACCGGTCGTGCATTAATATGTTTTTAGAACACGATAAGTTGCAACACACTATACATCGCTCTGGAGCCACCTATATTGCACGTGACCACCTGCAGATGTGTGATAAGACTCTGGAATGTTTACTTAGCAGTCAGTAACTTGACCTCGCTGTTTACTTAACCGACTATAAAGGAAAATGCCTTGCCTTCTTCAAGCTGTGTGTATCAGCCAGTAGCTAGTGGGGAGAATGGATCAAGGACAAATTCTCCTCCGATGACCTAGCTGACCTGCCCCTTGTGAGACGCATAGTAATGGATTAATTGTCATTCAGACAGTGATAGTGATGGGGGCAACAAAGAATTGTGGCCACAGACAGTAAAAGTGACAGTAGCTCCGACGATAATGTGGGTAATAACATTGCGCGTAGTAACACTGCGGGGACAGCAACAAATCTAAAAAGAAATCTAAACCCTGATTCAAAATTGAAATACAAAGCATTTCTGATGAATGTGGCAAAGGCCTGGGCTACAGAACAGATGGTGGCAGCAGAACCAGAGTCACACAAAGACTTAGTACGACCAAGCCCATCAAGTCTCACCCCACACAGGCCTCATGTGAACCCCCCTGGGAGACTCTAGGGTGATATGCAGAAACATACCCTCATGAAAACTGTGAAGAGTGAACATTCCAAGGGGAAGCATCCTTCTAGGCAATGCCATGTTTGCACAGTTCACAAAAAAAGGAGTATGTCTACATTTGCAAGTTCTGTGTAATGCCACTTCACAAAGGGGAATGTTTCCAGAAATGTCACACTCTCAAGCACTTCTAGGAGCATTGGTAAGTGTTCTCCAAAAATTTTAGTTCAAAAAATTAATTAGATTTTATATTAATCTTTAAAGTGAACAGTGCACAAGTTAGGGTAGTACGTTTAAAAATGCCGGTCCCCAGGGTGATTTAAATATTTAAATTGCCAGTGTGCGAAGTGTTAAGAGAAGCATATTTGATTTATGGGCTGTAGAGAAACAATCAACATACATCCTGACTGAGGAACTATGTTCTGGGCCACCTTTACATCTCATTGCTTCTGGACTGGTCGCAAGTGTCAGCACCCTGCTTACCCAGCATACTCACTTCCATTCCCTGATATTGGGAAACTAGAATGTCCACATTTACTTGAATATAAAATGGCTTTGAAAGGTGACCCCTTAAAAGCTTACATCTTCAGAAGGATAAAATTGTCACAATTACATCCAGATTTCTGTTTCAGTAAGGTCTGCATATCAAAGTTACAAAAACATACCCATCTATTGTACAGCTCTGTACTGTCCATGTTTGGGCCCTCAATAAGTTTTCCAAATGGAACTGCCACATTTTAATTGCCCTTTCTCATTTCCTTCAGCACGAGACATTTACTTCAAGCAACACCAAATTTTCATGACACAATGCAATTTTTGGTTTCTCTTGTGCACTTCATGAAGTTCATGTCACAGCTGCAATGTACACCTTTCAATCTGTGACACTGCACAGCCTCTCTCTTCAACGCAGTTTGTACCACAGTATTCTGCCTTCTGCTCTCACACAAAAGTATGTGATCTGTCAACCCACTTCCTTGACCCTGAACTGAAAGGTTCAGCAGCAACACTGTTCACTCTAAAATATTATCTAAACAGTGCTAATGGTAACATGTGAACGTGGCCTCCAGTATGCTACTTTTTACACATGTCAATATAAGATGATTCCTGTTCCTTCAGATACCCAAGTATTATGAAAATATTTATGACTCTATGATATTTTTTACACATAATCGAAGAAAGCCCATGTTAGGAAGGAAACGTTTCTTTTTAAACATCCTACTGAAGACATGTACCACAACAGAGAAAGTGAAATCACATGATGCCTCAAATCAGAAATAGTGTTTGATGAGTTCTTTAATTATAATGAAATGTGTTACCAACAGGAAATAAAATTAGACACAAATTCTTATTGTACAGTACAAGGAGGAAAACATTTACCGTTCCAGAGATCATCTCCTTTACGGCTACGTGAGTTGAGCTTTGTACTGGTGCCCTTGCCTTTGCGACCAGGCGTACAACTGGATCCTGGTTTGCTACTTACACTGCTCTCATCTTCAGGAACTGGTCTGCAACACCGCAAACACAAAGGAATGAAATTACAAGTTTTCAGTTTTAATGCAAGCAATAAGCAAAATCTAGGCATCAGTAAAGTAACAGTTACCAGTATCTCAAATGGTAGGATGGATGAACTGGAAGAGGACCTACCTGGAGAAGCAGTGGAAAAACATGGGAAACATTAGTCCAGATAGTTTGCATCCTGGCTAAAGTTCAAACTGGGCATATCACTACTAGATCCAACTTGTTCAGATACTTACTATAAATGATATGGTCTGAATAAAGAAACAGCTATCCACTAAGTGAGAAATGCATATAGATTGTAGAATTATATTGGTTTCATTTGTGGGATAGTTGAAAATTGTGTGCATTCAGCTGTTCACGCTCAGAAACCACACATTATAACAATGTCAGAGGAAATAAGTTTCTGTTTATTCCACTTGTCAATAACACTTACTTATAGTAGATGGTGTGAGTCTGGACCCAGACACCCGAGTTGCCCAATGGAGCTTCACTGTCAGTATCTGTCTCTGATTGGTCATTCCCAGATGGGCTGAACTGACGAACAGCTTGGTACACAGTCATGTTGTATGGCAAGGACTGATCCCCTATGAGGAACTGCAGCCTGTGGCGAGCTGTGCCCTGGCTTATCACAACAGCAGCCTGACAACATCAAATGTACTGATTTGTTATAAATGTGTATGCAGATTACATTAACTTCACTGCTGAGGTTCAGCATCTTTGTAGCACTTTACTGTGAACATGGCCATCTAATACATCTTGCACCCACACTGAGTCACTGAAATGCAGAGTTTAATGTAAGGCTATGCACAGGCCAGTACATCCAAAATCAGTTGTCTTACTGGTACATAGGTGAGTCAATAAGTTACAAATTGATGTGCGGTACTACATGTTTGAATGAGGCACTTGAGGCTATTGCCACTTGATGGCAGCATTAGTCCAGTGGCAACTGATGACATTCAACAGGAGACAAGTGATGTTTACAAAAGTGAAACAGCAGTTGCAAGATGGCAGCACCTCTGAATGAGTGTACAACCTTTGAGTAGCGCTCCGTTGTGCGATTTTTGTGGGCAAAAGGTATGGAATCAAAGAATATTCATAAAGAAATGCTTCCCATCTACAGTGAGATGTGCCTGTCACATCAAGCTGTTTACAATGGGGTGCAAAAGTTCTCTGAAGGGTGGACATGTATCGAAGACGAACACTGGGTCGGCTGGCCAATGGAGATTGCCACAGAGGCGAATGTGCAACGGGTTGAAGACTTAATTGGAGCAGACAGAAGGGTAACTATAGACACTACGGCCACTGCTATTGGTTGTTCACACGGCATGGCCTACCTCATAATGCATGACAGGTTAGATTTCCACAAAGTCTCTGCACGATGGGTGCTATGCAGCCTGACCCAACATAAAATGCAAAGAAGGATCTGGCATTACAGCATCTCAACTGCTACCACAATGGACATATGATGAGTCTTGGGTTCACCATTACCAGCCCGAGACAAAGCGTGTCACTGCAGTGGAAACATCCTGCGTCGCCTGCCAAAAAAAGTTTAAGGTGACACCATCCTCCAGGAAAGTGATGCTCACAGTCTTCTGGGATCACGAAGGCATACTGCTCACCATATTCCAGCCTCAAGGACAAACCGTAAATGCCGACTCCTACTGTAACATCCTCAGGAAACTTTGTAAGGCCATTCAACGGAATTGACCAGGACTCCTCGCCAAAGGTGCGCTGCTCTTGCATGATAACGTGTCCCCATACTGCCAACAAGACAAATGAGACACTGCAAAATTTCAAGTGGGAAGTCCTCGAGCATCCTTCACATAGCCCCGACCTTGCTCCAAGCGATTTCCATTTTTTCGGCCCTCTTAAACTTCCATCTTTCGGCTGAACATTTTCCCTGACGATGAATCTGTAGAAAGGGAAGTCACTGCCTGGTTCCGACAGCAACCCAAAGAATTTTATGCTGCTGGTTTTCAGGGGGTTGTGAAACAATGGGACAAGTGCCTCAATGTACAGGGAGATTATGTTGAGAAATAAAAGCATTCTTCAAATCAGTACTCTTATTTGTTTAAGGTCTATATCCATTTGTAACTTACTTATTGACTTACCCTCGTACATGGAGCCTTGTTCAGCGGCAATTTCTGTCCGAACAACAGCGAGAAATAATGCTCCCTTAGCCCCTTGAAACATGAAGTTAATATACAGAGTGTAAATAAATATATGCTATAACGCTTTGTGGTAGACAGATGGGTTCAGTCTGATCATATTTTGTTAATACACCCACGTCTGGAAACGCTTTGTTTACACATAGGGCTTCTGAAATGTGAAGAAGGATGCCCTTATCTCTTACTGCTGTGGCTACTAGTGACATTTACCTAAAATTTCTCCAGGAGACCTTACCCAAGCTGCTGGAAGTGGTGCCTGAAAGTGGTGTCGTGAAATGTGGTTCCAGCATGATGTCGCCCCAGCACACTGCGCTAATGTCATCCATGAGTATTTGGATGAAACCCTTGGCAACAGATGGATTGGATGTGGAGGCCCAATAACCTCACCCTCTCGCTCCTCTGACTTGATTTCATTGGATTTCTTTCTCTGGGGGTACATGCAAAGCCTGGTGTATGAGACTCCAGTCGAGACACAACATGATCTTGTGGCAAGAATTGCAGTAGCAGCTGGAACCATCCGGGAAATGCTGGGAATCTTTCAAATGGTTCAGCATAACATAGCCAGGCAGTGCATAACATGCAATGAAGTTGCCGGCCATCATTTTGAGCAACTTTTATAATGTAAAGCAACGATAACATCCCAGAAAACTTATGCATCCTCTAGGAAATTTTTGTGATCCTTAGTGCCAAAAGGAAGCATTTCTGGACATTAACAAAATATGATCAGACTGAATCCATTTGTCTGCCACAGAACATTGTAACATATATTATTTACACTCTGTACACATCATCTAAAATTTCAATTCCTCTAAAATATACATGCCACATCTCCAACGTAAAGTCCAGCACATTAATGCTGTTAAAAAATGGTTCATTATGAGAATGACACAGAACATAAATAAAATGTTTATAAGAATTTTTGGGGGAGCAGCAAATTTGAATGGCGAGACTGAGGAAAATATTCAACAGATATTATGTAACACTAAGACTACTAACCCGGGATCAATAAAATTGAACATTAAACACTGAAAAACCTTAAATCAAGGAACATTACCTGGTGGTTACACTGTATAGAGAAACTGCCTTTACTCAATGTTTACACTGTTTCAAACCTACAAGTTCTAAATAAACCAATTTATATACATTTTGAGGTACCAGCGCAGAATCAGAGAAATATACAGTATTTATTCACATTATCCTGAAGGGGTTTATGTGATATGACACTGATAGGTCCTAGAACAATATGAGGCCAAGCAAACATTCTACTTTGTAATTAAACGTAGCTACTTAACTGACCAGAGTATCGTCAATGTCCTCTTCACTGTTGTCATCATCAGAATCCCCAGAGTCTTTATCCTTGAGCCGGCCGTACCCTCTCACAACCAGGTAGCGCTCAATAGCCTGCACTAGAGCCAGAGGGTCAATTTTCACTGTCCCTCCTTTCCACTGCTTCAGATTTGTGCAGTCCGGATGGCGCTGTAAGTTGCACTGTAATCATTTGTGTACTGTCTTTCAAACTGTCACAGGCAAATGAGAAGACACTGATACAATATGCTCATGTGCAGTGACAGCTTTTCAAAACAAGGTGTTCTGGCAAGAATTGGCTATTTTCCTTTCAGAGGCTTGCAGTGCTGGCAATAATGATGACAGAGATTTATGAAGTATGTCAATGAGATGGGCTCGGGTGGCATCATATGTATACCTAGTGTCATGACAATCAGTTCACACATTCAAGTAATATTTTGGTTATTACCTTAACAATTTGAGAGACTGTGATGTTGGTAGTACTGACAGGAGGGATTTACAAAGTATGCTGTTGAGATGGCTTCAAGTAGCACAATATACATACCAAGTTTCATGCAGACTGGTACAAGAGATGAAGCAATATTAAGGCTTTGGCTCAGCAATCTGAGAGGCTACAACGTTGGTATTTGTGAGATTTGACGGACACGGCTGAGATGGGTTCAGGTGCCATATACTGTGACATGTATACCCACTGCTAGGTAATGGGTCAGTAAATACATTCCTGCAACAAACATGCACGAACAACAGGATGTCTATTGCTAGGGAATGGAGCTGTAAACATGCTCTTTATCAGTAGTAGATGGTGTTTTCTGTGAGGTTCACCATGAGGCTATATAATGATGATCTCATGCAGCTAGAATTAGAATTGGGTCAAGTTCTGGAGATGACAGTGAAAGGTGATTGAAAAGAAATGACAAGAAAGGAATTACACTGTGCCAAGAAGACTTCATGTGTGAGTTAAGTGACAATAACACTGTGATAAATCTGTTGTTAGGATATGGCTAGTGAAGATTGAGAATGCAAGTGTGTAATGGTTAACTTCACACATAAAATAATTCCTTCAGCCCACCATAACAGACCGTCTACCGATCACATGATCTGCACGTGCCACATACGCAGCACAATGGAACAATGTGTGCGCTACTCTGAGAAAGGACAGAAATACTGTATAGCATTCTCACTGAATTGAGTATACCCATGAAACTGGGTTGGATACATAGTATTAATTCAGGTCTGACCAAATTTCAACTAACAAAATTTTATACTAGCAAAGTAATTTATGTGTTTTCTGTCACCAGTTGTGTATTCCTTAAGAATCACCTGATGATGGCCTATCTGGGCAGAAAGATGTTGCAGGCTGATTAATAAAAACATTAATTTTTGTGTTACAGAACACTTCCATTTTTTTCTTAAATTCATCATTTCTCTACCTCACCTACCAGCTTCTAATAGTAACAGTTCAGGAATGAACTGCAGCAGTTCTCTAACTCGTTCGTTCACTCACCAACCAACCTACTCCACTACACTGACTGGACTAACTCCCAGGCTGATGGCCATCTCACACCAATCTCCTACTCTTTTCACTGCCATCTTAAGATTCTCTTCTAATGGCAGCTGGGATTCATTGTTTAGCCTCAGTATGGATTGAACAGAGAACACCACCCCCAAAAGACAATTCCACTGTTGTCTTTTGTTGCCATTGCCTAGCAACTGCTGTTGTATGGCTCCTTATTTCATGGATGTTACCTAGCAATGCGTTTGCATGCCACAGTACTTTATCCCTGCTATTGACCTTCATTTCAGGATACACTGTGAGGACAGTACAACCACTGCATCCCCTAACAAATGCCTGTAAGTACTCCAGTTTTTGTACAATGTTTAAGGAATACTTACATGTCTGTGTGTTCAATTTTCCAGTTTCTATGTTAAAAACCAAGGAAGTTATTATTTCTTATTAACTTTACTTAAAACCTTCTGGCACAGGGGGGCATTAACACTGGAAATGCCTCTGGATAGAACAAGTAGCTTTAATTGTGAGACTCGTAAGCAACAAAACAATACGAAGTAACTCAAGTCATGCCTGTACCATTCAGTCATTCATTGTAACTGTAAATTTTTTCCTGTCTGCATAGCCAACTTTCATGTCTAGGCGTTTACATGAAAGTGTGAACTGGCTGTGCCAGAACCACTTGCAGCAAATTATGAAGCTGGAAACTATAACCTGTGAAACAAAATTGTTTTTCCCCCAATAACTGTACTTATCACAGAAAAATAAGATGTACCTTGAGTTGATGAGTGTTGAAAAATTTAAGGGCACTGGTTCCACTGCCTCTCCCTGTGCCAGTTCCTGCTGGCAGGTCATGAACTTTCACAGGGAATTGTTCTAACTGCGAAACACAACCACTCAGCTTGGCAACAAGAGCGGACATGGATGCAGGATTCCAACCTGGAGGCCGACCACAGAAATCTAGGTCCAACTGCAAACAAATTACACATTGGTCAGTTACAAGGAATTCATAAAGACGTGCACACAGGATCCCACCCTTGAGGCTCGTCAAAAAAGCCAAGCACAAACATACTGTACACTTGAGAGTTAAGGTAGTTTCTTGGGGTGGGGTGTGACTTAAGTCCACTCAGCATGTAGGCCACTATTTGGACTGTTACGCCAGCCCTGAATGATAGACGATGAGTGTGGAGCAGTCAATGGAATGACAATTGGCAGGAGAAACTTAAGTACTTGGAGGAAACCTGATCCAGTTCCATGTTGTCCAACACAAATCCCTCATGACCTGACCTGGGCTGAAGCTCTGGGAAGCTGGTGATTATTCACCTGAGCTATGCATGCCTTGAGAGTTAAGGTTTCCATGCCCATGATGATTCAGATTGTGTTCAGAGGGTCACATCTCCCAGAAGACCACAGTCTGAATTAGACACCTGTCAGTCATGCAGCAATTTCAAAACATTTTGCCACAGACATCAGGGACAACTGAAAACAAGTAACACAGCAAAACCTCGATATTATGAGATTTTATAACGTAGAAACAAAAACCTCATCTAATGGAGACTCATAAAGGCCAGTTCATTTCCTAATGTGCAACTTTCCTCATAGGCTTATGAGATCGACCAAAAACTGTCCAGCGATTGATGCATTGGACATGCCTGATCTATAGAATTCAAACTCTTTCACCCTGAAAGATGCCGACTGCTACATATAGTGATCACACAATTTGCTAGTTGCTAATTACAGTGACCATACAATCTGCTCATTGATAATTACACTGGCTACAGAATCTGCCCGTTGCTAACAGTGAGCTGGAGGTCTGGAAACCACTCTGAGCATGAATTACAACTGCACTTTACTATATTAAGACTTCATCATGACAGCCATGATAATATGTGGAAAGAGGACACAGTCCACAACTGGCATTCGACTACCAACTGATGAGGTGATGGGACTTGGATCAAAATGACAATGGAGAAACCAACATCTTGGGATTCATTGCAACAGGCTTTGATAACCTGTTCCTACAATACTTTATTGTAGTTCACACACATCAGCCACCAGTGTGTGCAAATCCAAGGACATCCAGCAAACATAACCATTGCAACAATGACACCAAGGACAAACCACAAGTAGAAAGAATATACACACTATACAGCACTTCTTAAATTATGTTAACAAGAATCCAAGCTGATTTTTAGAAAAAGCACACTTTTAGATTTACACATCCTGTGTCCCACACAATACTGACTGCAGGGTGGCACTGCATAGGAATCATGAGACATACCTGGCAAGAGCCCAATGGTGGAGGAATACATCAAAAGTATATAGAAAAATGTGGACCAAGGGGTACTGCAGCCAACAAGCTATGAAACTGCTGCATTTACAACACTATATTATACACATATACCTAGTGCTAATCCTCCTGTGTTCAAGATGGCGATATGAAACAAGAGTTCTCTGTGCCAACATTTACTCTTTCATTGCAAGCTTCCCTCCTCATTTAGTGAATCATAGGTCACCACATACTAGCATAAAGTGGTGCTTGAAGGTGAAACATGCGGTAGCATAGATGGTTGAGGCACAATGCTACAATGCAAGGTGGTAGGTTGCAGGTTTGATTCCTGATGAGGTCACTGGATTTTTCAATTGATGTAGTCCTGCCAGTCACACTATGGCCCTGGGGTTGACTCTGCCTCTGACTGAAATGAGTACCATGAACTTCCTGGAGGTAAAGGGTGGCCGGCACCATCTGTGAGTCAACTGTCTAGAAAATGTGGAAGCCTCAATGTCTCACAACACTATGGGCCTCCACAGCATGTTGCATGGATACCTTAACGTTTTTCTTTTACTTGAAGATTCAGAGAAAGGATTTTTAAACAAAGATTCATTTTAGTGTCCAAATCTTACTACATACTGTCCTATGATCCTGCCATTACTGGAAGCAAGTGTGAAAGTTCCTTCACAATACTGTGGTCTGAATTGTCCTGAATGTCAAAAATATTATTAAACCCCATTTGTTTTGGATTTGTTTCAACATTATCTTCAGAAACAAAAATAACATGCAGGCAGCAAGTTCCAGAGAGTAAGGGGGGATGGGAACTGCTATTCTGTTCTACACCATGACCCATCAGATGGGGCAGTGTCAGTAGGCCCATTTCACAAGGGACAGTTTCCTGTAGCTTGCGTATAATACTTCGGATTGATAATTTTGCAACAGGATGGATGAGACTGTGATGCATTCTTTTATGTTTTCACTGTCCACACAGACAAGGTTGATTCACTTGTAATGGCTACTGACAAGAAGAAATATGGACTAGGACTATACTGAAGATGCTCCTGAAGATTATGTCGCAGAGCTGACTGTTCATTTGTTTATCCACTGGCAGTTGAGGACAGAGCACATAATTCATTTCTGACAAACATCTTCCTATGTCTCAATCTTGACAACTACCTATATGTGTGTCATTCTGATACTGCATCTTCTTCTAGTATGTCACACACATTCTATACTTGACAGTTCTGGTAGCCAGTAATAGTTCTTTCCTTGAGGGACAGACTATGGTTCAGTGTGTCTTGTATTGAAGACTACCGCCATTTCACTGACAAATGTTATAGCAATGTTCAGTTGGCCCAAGAATTGGATAATTGAAAATGTAAGTATACATTTGGGGGGTTTTAACTTTATGCCCTTGATGCACGGACTTTTTGGGTAAAACAATTCACTTAGCGGCTCTGCAAACATTTAAAAATCCTTGACGATCTGGCTGCAGAAATTTTTCTAAATGCAATGGCTGGAAAGGGTTAATCAGGTTTTACTGTTCACTTTACTAGCTAGATGGTAGAGCTGTTTTTCCATATATGTTAACAGAATAAAACTTACAGGGCATCCAGTAAACACATGAAGAAATGTACGAAGTCGCTGATCCCGAGGGCCCATGACTGCACTATCAGGTTGTGTGACATACTGAAGAATGGCCCGAATTAGCCCACTGTGGTTAACTTCAAATGGTGAAATATCCGACTCCATTACTATACTTCGCAGCTCTTCCAGGGCAACCAGACTTTCATTCGGCTAAAACAGAGAATGGTGCATCAGTCATACAATTAGCGCTGAACACAATGTGAGGAATAGTGGCATCCCACTACTGTTTCATGGGCCACTTTTGCATATCATAGCAATTATATGAGAGTCATCACTTCACTCTAATGGGGAGAGAGGGAGGTGTTTACACAAATATTCGTAGAATATTACAAACCATATATAGGCCAGACCAAACATTCAGTGACTGTAACACATAAGGGGCATACAGGCAGAACCAGAAACAATAAAAGACTCAATATAAGCTACCCACATATTAAACAATACAAAGTTAGAGCAAAAGGAAATGAAGATATCAGACTGCATAAGAAAAAGTCAGATCATGAATACACACAACAGCTATTGTATTTATAATCCTTTAAATTGGGTAGTCAGTCTCAATGATGAATGAGCAAAGCCTCTTTGTTCATAATTTCACTACACACACACACACACACACACTTTTTGCAGAATTTATTCTGCTGTAGTGACAATCAACCCAGACATGTTTTGTCATATCTCAGATGAAACTGAATAACTGTTTGGACATCTGCAGAAATACAAATAGTGTTCAGGTAACAATTTCTTAAGGTTGTAAGAAAACTCTGTTTCTGCTGTTATTGAAAATAAAAATACTTTGGTTTGTTTTACATGTCATGCACCACTAACTGTGAAACTGTGGACATCCTTTTCACTGGCCCTGTATACGGGACCTCTAACACGAGGAATCCACAACTAAATTAGCCTTACATTAGCATTGCCTACCTGTGCCTGAAGCTTGTGTATAGCCTGAGTGAGTCTGGACAGCACATTCATGGCAGGATGAGGTGGGCCATTGTTCTCTGTCACAGAGTAGGTATCTACAAAATGAGAAGCTTGTTCACGAACCCAATTTCGAGCCTTTTCTTTGTTGCCAGCTGTCAGGTTTGGATTGCTTGAAGACTTAGACATGGAAGACTCCTTCAAAGAAATATCAGAGTACATCTGAGAAAATGAAAATTAAAAACACAGAAATGGTAATGAGGAATTTCAAGCCACTGCAATAACTCCCACAACACAGAAATATAGTGAGACTGACAGAAGAAGAGCATGCAACATCACTGCTACTACTGCACAGCTGAGGTCTCTTCTGGTTGAACAGATTTCATTCCAATTTAAGATCAGGAGCCCTTAGTGAAACTTGCTGATCAAGTTCAATATTCATTGTACAAATCCTATGATTGGGTAGACTTGAAAGGATTCTGACGATGGTGTATACTTTACTTCTTTTGGACTTCATCCATCGTCTGGTATGTAAAAGACAAAAGACCACGCTGTCTCGAAGACTGGATCTGTCTCCGAAATGTCGTGGTCTTTTGTCTTTTACATACCAGATGATGGATGAAGTCCAAAATAAACCAAAAGAAGTACCCTATGTTTGGAGTTTGAAAAATCTGCATGTTTATTTATGGATTTTATGAAATCTAATATTGAAATTCTGGATAAAAGCGAAACTGAAACTGCACTCTTGGTTAATCACTGCCACCACTCTACTCAAAGTAATGTTTTTAAGAATATCTCACTTAACACCTACTAGATAAAAATGTTTAAAGCAAAATTTTTACCATTTAATGACAAATATTTTGTTATACACATTTTTCAACAGTATGTTACATAAGCTGCAAAAAAAAAAAACAACCTAAATTAAATCATATTATTTCTACGAAAATAACTGAGTTGGGCACCACTCATGAATTAAAACGTAATCCACCAATCCTCTATATGGAGAAACCTTGCCATGAACCAAGTAACATCCAGCATGCTCATGTACATGCAAACAACACTGTCAAAGGACATCAGTATATGTATCCCCGAATTTAATCTGCTCTTACTCTGAGATCGGAGGGTTTCATGATGTGACTATGATGATTACAGTTTTCTGCGATGTGATGCCATGTAGTCCGGTTAGATATTTACCAAAGTTTTGTAGGATCCTGTTGTCTAAATCTGCTGGCTAATGGTCCTGATTTCTTTGTATGAATTTTGATTTGTTACTGCCATAGTGGGTGTGAGTATCAAGCTTGCATGCACCCTGCCTCTGTAACCAAGCCCCCCTGATCTCATCATGCACTTCATCCCTAAGAATGGAGACAACGTATCCCTCTCAAATGACATTATCCACCTACAAGACCTCAGTCTGTGATATATGTTTCAGAGTCGTACATGTAACAAGGCTGTAGGTGGCTATTATGGCTCAGCAATGTAAAAGTTAACACTGGAAGTATGAATTCATGGCTCAAGACATTCTATCATACAAAAACCTCTCGTGGACTGCTAAAGCTCCTGTACCTGTCATCTTAGACATTAACGTACCAGTATAGTGGAAACTGCAATTTTTGGATCAACTAGGTCAAAATGTACAGACCCCATGAATGTAATTTTCCAAACTCTCTGTCACAAAGAAAATTATACAATGTTCTCTTCACCAAATGTCATAAGGGTGAACAAAATAGGATAACTCAAGGGTATCTATCATGTATGAGGGAGAAGACAAATTTCAGTCACGAAATCTGAAGTGAATAAACTGTCTGAGAAACAAAGGCACAGATGAGAGAACAATATTGAAAAGTATCACGAAGAAAGTGTGTGAGGGTGAGGTCTGGAAGCCTCCCTCAAGGAATGATATTGAACCTTTAGATTTCATGAAGGTGATAATCTGTTGACAAGCTGTGAAGCAGTCAGCTTCTCTCAAGGATGCTGCTCCATAGACTTAGACCCTGGTTTCTGGTCACCCAAGGACACGACGAATTTGGCTCATCAACCAGCACCTACAATTTACCTTGTGGAAAGGTCTGTCAGTCAGACCTGAACCACTGCTATTCAGGTTTCGTCCCCAGCGCGCAGGGTTCAGGCTGGCCAAGAAGCTAGTTGTTTTTGACGTGGCACCAGCAAACCGAGACCTTGCCGAGCTGGCTCCACTACCTCCTGTTGGTGTTGATCGTCCAGAACTGCCCAATGATGTAGCTGAAAGCACCAGCAATGGTCCATGAAGTCAACACTCAATTCCATGCAATGACAGGTTCTACTTCACTGCCTGATGGACGCATTTCACCTTCCCATGGCTGATCAAACTCTTTCTCAGGATATCCAAGAAAACTCCAGCTCCACTCTCTTCTACGCAATTTCATGTTTTTCTAATTTCATTTATCCTCCACTTCCAACTCTCCCATCCCCCATGCCTGCACCATCCACACAGGTCCCCTCACTAAACACAACACACATTCATTCCCCCAACAGGGAAAAAAAAAATCAGACCATTGAAGGTGTACGTTTATATCTCACTTCCCACTGAGTGTCACTCAGTGACTCAAACAAAGCAGTTCACGCTGACCTGCATAGTCACTTTGCCTTAAGGATGCAGAGTACGGATCCTGAAAACAATCGCAATATAGACTACATACACAGCACCCACACCTTGTACAAAATTCCATAACATCAAAGCATATGTAATTAACATAATGGAACACAATACAACCTCCATATAAAATAATTTGTAAAAATTTATGAAAAAGCTCACTCTACTTTGCTCGCATCTGAACTGGATGAAGATGATTCCGCACTTATCACAACATGGCATTAAGATTTAAGAGAGTCAGTCTGGGTACAGCAGTATTCAGTCTTCTGATGCATTTGCAATGACAAGTAGCAAGAACGCTAGCATTATTTGTACTATGTCTGTGCATGTGTAACAACTGAATGCCTTTTCACTATATCTTCTCATATCAAGGAGATTCACTGCAATTTGTTTACACATTCCAACAATGGTTACAACTGCACAACCATAACAGGCACATTACATTTCTCTGCACATCCCCACTTTAAGTAACTAGCTTAATTACTTAACATGGTGAAACATGAAAAACATTTTATGTCTAATACACTTTGCTGCAAGTGTTACAATTTTGAGATAATTATACATATCGGACTGAATGCCCTCAGAACTGTTATACTAAGCATACACTTCCAGCGTTGGGGGAGTTTTTTAACACATTCCAGTACTGCTTAAAATCAAGTAACAATAATGAAGACCTACATGCATTTCTGTACACATCTCCCAACTAACTCACTGCACATTTATTGGAGCAGAGACGGTGCACAGAGAACTGAACTACACATTTTTTGATCAATTCCTAGGAAGCCTTTGAGGTTTTGAGATAATTAAAAATAACAGTGGGAAAGTGCCAGAATTGTTACACAACAAACAAATTCTGTGCACTGATGGGAGACAAGGAAATCTTAATTCTTCTGTTACAATTCTACCACATGCAACATATGTTTCCCACGCTGCACTTCTCCTGAGGGCCATCTGATGGATGGTAAGAGCAATGCTGTCCACCTGTAACTATGCCACCAGAACAATCTTAATCTTTAACTGTGCTGTGAAATGGCAATTAATTCATGTAACGGCCAATCTACAACAAGACCACTGGAGGAGCACAGATTCCAATCTTCATTCTCAGCATTGCTCAGCTGTTTCTGCCATTGGTCTCCCATCACAAAGATCGGCTGATCATGTTTTGTCTTGTTCTTCACAATGGTGAACAATGACAATGAAGTCAGTCCATGCTGTCTTCCTATTTTGCTTCCTGATGAGCAACTATGTGGCTTCAGAGACATGTATTACTTCAAGTATAACCAAGACAGTGTGCTGAAGAGAAGTTCACATGATATGTGACATTTATCAATGCCTAATGTGTGGGGTAGAGACCTGACCCTGAAGCTGTCAAGTCATGCTGAATACATAAAAATATCATCTCCTACTGCAACCATAAAACAAAATTTTAAGAGACAGTACATGTTTTCCAGTCACATACGATGGGGTACCCAAAAGAAACCGAACTAATTTTTTTGTGGGCAGAGCTTTTGTAGTACCACGTTTTACCGCTATGAGCGCATAGAGCTAACATTCCTGAGTCGATAAGCCGACTACCATTACTTCAGAAGGTAAGGACTAGTTTCGGCAGAGTTTATAGTGACAACTGTTTTGTGTGATCATCGTTTTTGCAATGTCTGATTTTCGTGAACAGGGTACAGTGGTGAAATTCTGCTTTTTGCTCAGGAAAAGTGGAACACAAACTCCTGAAATGTTAAAAACGGCGTACAAGGACGATGTTATGGGGAAAACTCAAGTGTTCGAGTGGTTTTCCCATTTCAAAAATGGTGAAATGTCAATTGATGACAAACCTCGTTCTGGTCGTCCTTCCGTGGTCCGAACACATGAAAATGTTGAACAAATTCGTGAAATCATCAAGGAAGATCGACGACGGACCATTGAAGAAATTGTGGAGCTGTCGGGAGTGACTTGGAGCTCAGTGGCCAGATCTGTGGCAGTCGGGTGACTGGTTTTTCCATCATGACAATGCCCCTGCTCAGACAGCCCTGTCTGTACAATTCTTGACCAAAAATGGTATGACCCCTGTTCCTCACCCTCCATACTCACCCGACCTTGCCCCGTGTGACTTTTTTTGTTTCTTCGAATGAAAAGAGACATGAAAGGAAAAAACGACGGAGGCGCTGTCAAGCATCTCAAAAGATGAATTTAGACAATGTTTTGAAAAATGGAATAAAAGACTAGACAAGTGTATTAGTGTAAGTGGAGAGTACTTTGAAGGGGATTGAAGGTTTGTGCTTTAAATTTGAATAAATAAGTTTAAAAAAAAAATAAGTTCGGTTTCTTTTGGGTACCACCTCGTACTAGGATGGTTCCCTGCCTGCATACTATGCACCACTGCCTCCAAGTCAAGAAAATTCTCTGTCCAGACATGGTACTCCACTTCTGGAAAGCAGCCTCTCTTCTTCTCTCGGACACAAGCGAGACACCAAGAGGGTGGGTTAACGGTACGTTAATAACCACTAATTGTGAACTGTCTGGGAAGAAAAACTGCAAAGTATAATTAGAGGAAAAAGTTGCAACTCGATACGAATCATTCATAACCATGGAAGTGCCAGAAGAATTCCTCACTTTATATGACTTCCACATGAGTATCCAAGAATCTGATAGTGCCAAAGAGTTTCAGTGCTGTAATTATGTTCTTGTTCTAAGTCACATTTCTTTCTACAGGTTACATTAGTCTGACGATTGCAACATGCCCCTTCTAATGATATATCCCCTGGCAATTCCAAAGATCCTCATTTCTTCTGACACAATAAACTACCTTTGGAGAAGAGGTCTTGCATCACTGATGATGACAGATTGTTATCAGAGTCTTGCCTGGTCTTGCGATTTGAAGTAACAGCTCTCTTTGGGGTGCGCTTCCGTTTCAACACATCAGTTAAACGTCTATAACAATGAAACAAATAAATCATGGTTGTATTCTACACCATAATTACAAAAGCATATAAAATTCATAAAACTAGTCCACGACTTCATGGCCAAGAGCATTTCTGGCATATTTTCAAGGTTCACTCCATCTATACAATCACCAGGAGTCTTATGCAGTGCAAAGTTTATTTACACAACCCACCCTCACAGTCTTAGGCACAACCTAAAAATTGGGAGATGAGGACTGAAATAATATGTAATTTTTTTAACAATGAACACTCACAGTTGCGATGGGCTAGGTGACCGGGTGTCTTCTACAATTCCCATGTCTGGCTGCTGGGTGAATCGCCTGGGTTCAGGGCTGGCAGGAGCAAGGCTTGGAGTTGGCATACTTGTGAACACCAGTCCACTACTACTCCCAAGATTTGATGCTGGTGGAAACAGACATACTGAGTCTTATTTTATAACATCAGTAACATGTCACAGCATACACTGTCAATTAGAGACCTATTTGCAATAGGAGCTTTTAACATATTTTGATGCAAAAATTTACATATGCTCTAAAACTATCAATACAACAAATGGCTCTGAAAGGGCCTCTCCCAACTGACTCAAAACTGATGTTACATGGATCATGCTTCATTAGTTATTTAAAATACAAATTATCTCATGAAGATACCACTGGTAATACAAACGGAGAACATCAATGAAGAGAATATGTATGACAGAAGCTATGTGCAGTGCATCTACCTAACATGATGCTGCCATTTGGACTGGTGTTACGTGACACAACTCCCACTTGGCCAGCGCTGCTCACAGATGAAGACGATCCAGCAGTTACACCACCAGAGTTCACTACAGAGAGGCTGAAGGCTGATGATGGGCCTGGTTGTGGCTGCGAACAGTTCACCTCCTGCTGCTTCATCGATACGCTGGAATCGCTGCTCTTTGGTGGAGATATGCCCAAAGGAACATCTGGGTCAGCCAACTTCTTGATTTGGTGCATTACCCCTAAGGAGAATGAAGCATTCCTCTGTTTCTTTCTCCATACAAAAAGTAAAATTACTAGTACATAATTTCATAACTCCACTTCAGGTCAGAAAATTAGCACCTACAATAAGATTGAAAAGCAGCACTATGTACTGCATTGTATGCAAAGAGTCTTCACACTATGACAATCTGACAAACAATATAGACAACCTGAATGCTCCCACATGTTTCAAACAGCTCTGATGAAGATTTTAACAATATTAAGTACAAATCTGGTTAGTATGGTCATGTCAGTTACTGTGGTCCACTACAATTACTACTGGCCACCAGGTTTTGGAAGTGGTGCTTGTGTTCCTCCCCCTGCATCTGCCATCTTGACAACAGTGGTTGCCAGAAATTATTGAGCTTCGGGCACTCTCAAATGCCGTAATGATCATATCAAAATTCATTAAATCTGTCCAGCAGTCAAGTTCAAATGGGCACATGGACAGACAAACAGGATCTCTGCCAGCTTCATACAGAACTGCAGCATAAAATATTATTTGATGCGAACCTGGTTCCTAATGTTATTATAAGTAATGAGAAGAATGAGCTTGCGGTTGCCTTCAATTGTGTAACATTCATGTCAAATTCCATCCAAGTTAAAACAAGTGAATGCAGATGAACAGACACGATTCCTACAGTTCCACATAAAATTGCAAGATATGTTCTTCAAAGTTTTGTCAGTGACGTTATGGATCCAGATTACACACGGTTCAATATGTCACTCTCCTCCACAGTGCATATCCTCTAAGACTACTACACATTACAGCATTAATACCTGCAAAATTTCAGGAGGCAGACCAGGAACAGATGCTAACATGGTAACTAACCTTCTCTACGAAAGTGTACTCCAAACACTTCCGGCAGCTTCTGCATAAGAATTTCTGCCATCTGTAGAGCACCAACAACAATGCGAAGGTCCTGAGATGCCATCATTCCTGCAATGTGACTGGATACCACCTGATTCTTCAGTACCTCCTGTAGGACAATTCAATGTGTCTTACACTCAAATATGCAAGATACTCTCACAGCAGTGAATGCAATTACTGTATTTAATGACACAATTTACACATCTCTACATCAAAACAGGGAACAAACTTGTATTAGTAAGACAGTTAACAAATCATTAAAAATGTTGCAAAGTAAAAATACCTTAGAACAACACTAAAAAATCAAAACTACTCATGAAGAAACAGAGAAGAGAATAAATCTGGAGAATTACTGCCACTGCATATTCAGACTCTTTTCTTTACATGTCTCCCATCTAAAAGCAAAGACAACAATATAAGATTACTATGGTTTTACCTACTGCTCTGCATATTTATGAAACTTCCTTCTATGATGAGTGCAAATGAATTGTGTTTGAAAGAAAAAAAAAGGGTAATACTTGGACTGAAGAGGCAAGAAATATCAAGAGAAAACTTCACTACAAAGGTATCATCCAAATTGTGGACGACAATAGAAGAAGGCATGTAGGATTTGTGTGAGAGACAATAAATTTATACAAAATCTCAGCTGGAAAAGATGAAGCGAAAAACCTCTTATGAGAATAGACACAGATGGGATGATATTAAAAATGGGTCTTATAAGGAACTGGTTGTGAGTGTTGGAATGAATTCATCTGGTTCTTGTGGTAATGGACCTTCTGGTTCAATAAAAGATGAGACAACAGACTAACTGAACAACCATTAGCTTCTCATGATGGGGTCTTCTAAGTTCAATTAGATACCTTGAGCAGATCTGCTGAAGCATAATATACCATCCGCAAGAGGGCACGCAGGCATTTGCAGCGCACAGCTGGTCCGGCTGATGAACTGTACACTTCATAGAGCACACTGAACAGTGACCGAATAAACGAGGCAGCTAGACCTCTTTCCTCTCGCAGACAAGTCACTCGGGCATCTCGGGCGCTGAAAATGAGGATACACAAATGAACAATACATTCTGGATGCATACACAGTATCATTTTCTGTTTATTCGCTTATATTTATCCAAATTCAATGGCCCTTAAAACAAAAAAAAAAAAAAGAGTTATCTTCAAAGTGTGCATCCTGTTGTGTGTTTCAAACATATATACATAATTAGTTATGTTAAACTGTCACTACAACAAATGTATAATTTAATGTTTACAATTAAACCTTTTATTTTGCTATATGCTTCGGTCACATAGGACCACCATCAGAAAGTTAATATAGAATACACCTAGTCATTGAATTACTAATATGGATCCATACTAGTGCATGTTGTATTATATAACAGAAATTTTGCCTCAAGTTAGTAATAAGTATGATTAATTCCATTTTACTGCATAACATTCCTAGAATATCCCAAACAGCCTGGCCACCCAACACTCTGAAAACAGCTGGAATAACATATGAACGTGTTTGTGATGGGCAGTATGTCAGTGGCACTTTTGACAAACTATCACAATGTTTCAGTAACCTGTCCTTATTTACAATCAGTATTCCAAGAGTCAAGAAGAAAGGACGAATGTAGTCAGATGTTTTAAAAGGTTGAAAATCAAAGTTTCATGTATCCTGTCATAATAAAGCACAGTAGAAAAGTCAACCGAAAGTGAGGAACATGCAGTAATAACAGTGACACATAACTTACCCATTGCCAGCAGCTCGACCACTGCCATTACTACTACAGCTTAGGTTGCTTTCTGAATTTGAACTCAGAGACCCAGCAGGCATCAGAACTGAGGACCGTGTGCTGGTTGTTGCCACTGTTACCCCCACACTGAACGTGGAACCTGCAGCAAATGGAATACATGATCGGTAAAGTCTTCTTCTTCTGTATACACTTAAGGTGCATACACTCAAAAACAATGCATCAATTACCAAGTCCATTTCCTAAATTCCAAGACATCAAACATTCACCCTGGAATCTAATGGCAACATGCCTGCAAATAATTAACTAATAAACTATATGGAGCAGGCGGTAGCGTAGTTGGTTGCGGCACTATGCTACAAATCAAATCCAGT